TGGTTCAGCCCAGCAGGGGTGGCTGACATAGTGACGCAGCTCCCAATGCCGAACTCCCCGGGCCGGCGGGGCTTGACCGAATCGGCTACAAGCGCAGAATTCTGGGCAACATCTCAATTCTTGAATCTAGCTTGATTGGCAGCGAACTTCAAAGGGAGGCTTGCGGACTAGAACCTTTGTTTAGTTGTGTTCGTCCAGTGTTGGGTTGCTCAGTCATAGCCGTTGGCTACTCTTGCTTGAGCCGAGAGTTTGAATGCAAGAGTAGAGGTAAGAGAGAGAGAACGAGAGAGGTGGGCTCGGGAGTCTAACCCCCCCCTCCTCGGGCTCTCCCTCGAATCATAACCCGCAAAAGACACACGGCCGTGGAAACGCGGACAAAGCCGTCGTCACTCGTCAGGTCCCCCGACTCCCGCGAGAACGAAAGCGCTGCCGATGTGCCGAGCAACCCCGCCAAAGCACATCCACGGCTTTACGTCAGGTCCATGTCGGGCAAGGCTAAGTCGGCAAAGAAGACGCCAGACGCCAGACGGTGGCTCGTCCAATAGCTTGCCTCTGAAGACGTGCCTTTCCTGGGTCAGAACTGGTTTCGATGGTAATCGAGCTAGACTAGACCCCTCCTGCCACCCCGCGCCGCGTCAAGGGTTTGATGCTTCAGCTAAGGCCTCCCGTCGGTTTCCCAACTTGTGTCCAATGGCTTCGCGAGCTAGAGCATGAATCGGCGGGACGCGGCCTCCGTGAAAAGTGGCAGAAAAGGCAGGCGTGGCCAGCGTTGACGGATGAGGGTCGAGGGGTGCTGGATCGACCCCTCCATCATGTCATCGGGCAGTGTGAATCCAGGGGCACAGGAAGGTTAAGGGGTTTTTCTCGAAATAGAGCAAGCTTAGATGGGCCCTTTGTCGATCACATGAGAGCTTGACCTGGTTGCTGGAGGGGCATAAGAACCCCTCAAGCTGCTCCCTCATTTTTGACTTGGGAAACCTACTACTTCACTCTCAAGCTCAAGTACATCACTACATACCAATTGACTTTATACACCTATCCAACCCCACACCAAATTATTCAAAATGTTCGGATTCGGAGAAGCCAAGGAGCACCGTGACGCCGTCTATGAGGGCCAGCACGAGGGCAAGCTGTCCCACGAGATTGTTGCCGGTGGTGCTGCCTTTGAGGCCATGAAGCTCTTCGAGGACCGCCAGCGCAAGAACGGTATGCTCAATAACTTCCTTAACTCACCCAAAACTCGAACTAATCATCATTCTACACAGGCGAGCCCGTCAAGCACCAGTTCGCCAAGGAGATGATTGCTGGCATTGCCGGCGCCGAGGTCGACAAGCTCTTCGAGACCAAGGGCCTGGACTACATCGACCGTGAGAAGGCCAAGAGACACGCTGAGAAGCAGGCCGAGCACCTGTACCAGGAGCAATACGGTGACATGGACGAGTACAACCCGTAAGCAACCCTTCAGATCATTCAGTACACATCGATCAGGGACTGACAGATTGATATAGTGAGCGCCGAGGCCGCCACGAGCGCATGGACTACTAGATAGTGTGTGTGTATTTTATCAACGGCCGGACAGATATACTATGACGAAATGAAATTCATCTGAAGAACTGAACAAACACTATTTTGTTGACACTTGAACTTGTGACATGCAAATTGGTATCTAAAGCTGCTAACATTATCCAAACTCGCTGGTTTGCATGCCATAGTAATCATATACTCCCACAAATCCTCCCACCATTCAATGCTTCAATCCAACCGGCAGGGCACTCGAAGAAGCAGACCCGAACTTCATATCACTACTGCCCCCAGTAATTTGTTCGAATAACCTCTCTCGCTCCTTCTGCAGCGCCGTGCGCGTGCTCTCCAACCTCTCCCCGCGAACTTTTTGCTCCCGCGAGAGATACATGTGTCGGTCCCTGGTCTCGTGGAGGTATCGACTCAAAGCCTGGGCACATTTCTCAATCGACATTCTCGACTTCTTGATCTCATCGTGGAACGCCATATCGGAGTAGATATTGTCAAACAGCACATCTCCCATGAGGTTGCCGTGGTTGATGTTAATCGGCGGCAGGTCTCCGATGTACGGCGTCATCCGTTGCGCCTGCATCACCAACATCCTCGCTTCCTGCGCCGCGCTCTCGGCGCGCTGCAACGCACTCCGCTCCATCATGTCCGTCATCGATCCGCCGCCAAACATGTCCATGCGCGAGTGGCTCAAGGCGTCGTCCATGTGCCGCAACGAGTCGCCCATCCTCTTCATCGCATCCGTGAGAAGGCGTATGGCATGCTGTTCAGCTTCGACTTTTGATCGGGTATCATGGTACTCGTGTAGCGCCTGTTCCGCCGACTGCTCGAGGGTATCCTCTTCGGGATAACTCGGCGTCGGGCCCGCAAAGATCGAATCATAGAGGCTATCCAGCTCGCACTGCGCCTCATCATGCCGCCTGGCTTCCACCTCAAGCGCCTTGCTTGCCTCGCGCGCCTCGCTCAACTGCTCCTTCACGTTCTTGTTGAGCTCCTTTTCGCGGTGTTCGTCCTGCAGGACGTCAAAGTATTCACGCTCCTCGCGAGCGGCGCGCTCATCGAATTTGTCGCGCTTGCCGACTGCCTTGTGCACGAAGCGGCGCATGACGCTGTCGCGAAACTTTTCATGGTCTTTGAGTTCCTTTTTGCGGCGGCTGTCGAGGGCACGGATATTTCTGTCGGATTCTTTAAGCTGGTGGTCTAGGTCTGTGATGAGACGGCGTTGTTGACGGAGGTCGGGGATGGCGTTGTCTGTGTCTGCGAGGATGGCGAGGAGCTGGCGGTTTCTGACGGCTGCTTGGCGGATTTTGGATTCCAAGTCGGAAGTGGCCATGGTTTTATTGTCTCTGTGGGATAGAGAGAATGCAGCGGCTGCTTGTTGGTACTTAGATAAGGTAAAGGCACAAGAGGTATTATTGTTTGCGAACGGTATATAGAGTTCACGTATGAGAAAATGAAGTACTAAATAGGTATCGTGAGGGTATCGTGAGGTTCAAATATTGTGGCAAAGCCTCAAATAAAAAATACACAGGCGGGTTTAGGTTTTACTGAAGTTCTGGTTTTTGACGATGGAGTCAAAACACGAGAAAACCTGTCAATGACAAAAACTCATGCCGGGGGGCTCTCTCCGAGGCCTGGGCATTATATGTTCGCCCGGCAATCCTTGGCAGACATGATGAATGCCCAACCATAGTCCCATCTCGGTGTTGGTTCGGTGGCTGAAAGGATCAAAGGTGACCATTCCCTCCAAGTCCCCAGCAACAGAGTCATAGCATAGCGATGGCAAGCGTGGCACCCCATGACATCAGACCCTCGCCCTTGAACATTATTCGGCCGGGTTGTCTCTGCGGTGCGGCGACGCCCACTGAGTGCGGGGTGGGTAATCCCGTCGCGGTGGACGGATCAAAATAAGGGTCTGGTTTTTCTCTTGTCTTACCACCCAACCGCATTAGCAGGGCGAAGACTAAACTGAGAGGGCGGCGGCGAAATGGGGCAACACCGGGGAATGGGTGTGGTGAACTGGTGAAGGGGGAAATCAGTCAATACTGTTCCGGTTTGAACTATTGGGCTGTGAGCTGGGATCATCGGTGCTCGTAGAGTTGCGCCACAGACCGAGATGGCGGGAGAGGGAACTAGCCTTTAGAGTCTACACTCTTGTTCAAACCGAGCCACAGCGGATCGAGCTACTATTCTCTGTTACCGCCCAATTGCGGCCCTCAATGTTAGTAATTTTTCCATTTACAAATACGGATCTTTCATGGAGAAGTTCCAAGTAGCCGCAGTTGGGAGAATCCGTTGATCACAAAGACTCTATTGGGATGGGGGAGGACCAGCCACACGCTAGAAACCTGCCAAGAATCGAAGGATTCGGCGCCGCTGTGAAACTCGAGAGACCTGGATAAGACCTAACACGATCTAATCGCTTGGAATGATGCTGATGTTTGTGGCCAGTAATCACAAAAACAGCAGGGATCCTCGCCCATTGACCATGACACTTGGGAACCAGGTAGGACCTGGAGACTGACGAAGACAACAGAGGGGAAGTGGTTTCGGTGTGGCTGGTGCTCCTTGATCTGCTCTTTTTTCTTTGCAAGCGGAGAGGCCATGAGTTCATGTTTTGAACCGCCTGACTGGTCTGTCACCCATGACGATGACGATATGCACCACCCGCCGGACCAGCGAGTCTGTTGTTAATGGCATCGAGATCATAGCGATCTTGGTGACAATGTTCATCGGCAGTCTTGAGGAGCTAAGGCATGACGATGCCCAACAAACAACAGAAACAAACTGAAGAAAAAAATCAAGGCAACCCACCCAGCACCGCGGTTAAGCCCGAAAATGCCCAATTTCATGCGCATTGACCTTGTGGCCCATCGTGAGAGAATCTTGTACGATGGAACAAATACCCTCATTAATGATATAGATGACCCAGATAAGTAGTCTCGCATGCCTCATGTTAGCCTTGCGTACCACTCACAACAGTCCTCATTCGAGGGTCTTCCCCCATTGCGCGACAGACACCTGAAGACCAGCGACAGCCACGTGGGCGAATGGCAGCTGATGTTGTCGATGCCAACGAGGCGGCGGGAATCCACAATCGTCTTGCTCCATCGGGGATGATCCCCGTTGACAACTTCAATCACCGGCGCCATGGTTCCCCATTCATGAAAATGGTCGGCCCTGCCAGTCAGTTGGCTGTCAATTGTCCGCCCAGCAACCGGAAGTGGTCCGCGGTATATTGTCCATCTTTAATTGAATTGATTCAGAACGCCTGCTTACCCTTCCCTCGCTGACCACGGTAGCCTGCGATACCGTTGAGTCGTGGTAATTTTACATGAAATATCCAGTCTATGCTTGTTAGTCCATCTAACCCAGTTGCCATACCGCCTTATCTATCCCAGAAGAAAACAATGCAATGAAACCACTAGCAAATCAAGCCATATCGAATGATAGAAGAACCTCATTCGGGGTTAATCCTCCGCCCCTGACTCATAGTCTAGTGCTTCTTGGTTGCTCTCCGTCTCTAAGTGGATGGGTCCCTTCTTCCTCGGCTCTTCTACAAGCATCAGCGCCCCCCACGTCAAGGACGCCAAGAACGCAACGTAGAACCACGGCAACCCCTTCCATAGTCCCTTCTTCTCAAGTCCGACCGAGAAGGCCCACGCCAGTACCGGTCCGCCGAGCGGAGACCCAAGAGTATCGACCATGCTCGTGAGCGCGTACAACCGGGACGTGTGCTCCGGATCGACAAACTCGGTGATCATGGCGCGCGCGAGCGGGTTGTGGGCCGAACCAAAGGTCTGGAAGACGAGACCCAGGAGAAAGACGACGATCTCCCTGCTAAAGGCCTCGAGAAGCGCACCGGCGGCGATCATGATGTAGGATGCCTTGGCGAGGAGGGCGTCCTTGCCGAAGCCGGTGCGGCGGAAGCGGCCGCGGGGGTCGACGACGATTTTCGAGACCCATGGGAGGAGAACGAGGGTGCCGAGGTGTAGAAAGCCCAGCGGGGAGAGGAGGAAGCTGGTTTGGGCGAGCGTCCAGCCAAAGTTCTTGCTCACGTACTGCGGTAGTGTAGAGGAGTTTGCCGTCATGATGGGGTTGCCGACGATGGAGGGCACAAGGCAGAGGAGGATATTGCGGTTTCTAAGGATCGCGAGAGAGTCCTTAAGCTGAACCAGCCCCTTGAAAAAGCCTTCCTTGATGGCGTCGCCCAGCGGCAGCTGCGGTTTCGGCGGTTCGTGCCCGTTGTCGAGCTTGACGCGGAGAGTCTCGGGTAGGAGCATGATGATGAGGAAGACGAACGGTGTGAGTAGGAACACCATACGAATCGGCACCCAGGGGCCGAATTTCTCCATGAGGAAGCCGGCGGAGACGTGGCCGCTAACGCCACCCACCACGGCGCCAACGGACAGGATGACAAAGTTTGAGGCGCGGTCCTTTTCGGTGCTGATATCGGCGGCCATGGCGTAGACATTGTTGAAGACAACGACGATACCGCCGCCGAAAAAGAAGAAGCAGGAACCGATGAAGAGGTAGTAGATGCTCAGCTCGGGGAAGTTGGCCAGAATGAAAGGGGACCAGCTGAAGGCGGCGACAGTGCCAATGTAGGCGAAGACTAGGCCTGCCTTCCGGCCGATGCTGAACGTACAGAATTTGTGTCAGCGATCAGGTAAATGAACTTGTAGTAAGGTAGGATGACTTCAATTCTGCTCTCACGCAGAAGGGGAGTCGTGAGTTACCTACCTATCTGACAAGACGCCATAAGGAAAAGCGACGAGGAAGTTGACGACGGCACCGATGAGAGACTGCCACCCGCTCAACCAAGCAAGCTGCTTTTGCACCTCGTCGACCTTGCACTTCATCTCCGGGATCATTTCTGTGGGGCTAGTTTTATAGTGCTTATGGCAAATGTCATCCTCGATGAGCCTCATCATGGGAAGCATGAGCATCATGCCCTTGATAGTAATGGCAAACTTGAGGAGAGCCAGCATAAAGATGATGGTACGCGGCGATCGGGCACGGAAAGGAGCCAAGGCGGCATTGAGACGCGAGCCGGCTTTGTAGACCATCCCGCCAAGAGCACCGCCGAGACCGCCATCACCGGAGGAGGGCCGCCTCCATTTTGGCGGCGGAGGTCTATGGAAAGCACGGAAGCCGGCACGGGGCGACGGTTCGGACGGGTCCATCGGTAGCACCCCTTCGTGGTCCGAATATTCGGCGCCCAAGAGGTGCTCTTCCTGCACCTCGTCTGATAGACGTGGCATCTTCTCAAGCTTTCTTTCTTGAGGCCAGTGTTAAGGGACGAACGCAATGAGAGACACGGAATTCAGTGAAGCAATGAGACGATAGCGAATGGATAAATGACAGGGAAAGAGAGTGCTGAACAGTAGACAGCGTACAAAGAATGGAAATGCTTGTTTGACAGGGTCGTGGACAGCGAACCCGATGACGACGCGTCTGGGCAAAGAATTCCCGTCGCCAAGGCGGCAAGTTTCAGCTGGAGTCGGCGTCTTGCTGTAATAACTCCCCGAAGCTTTCCTCGTACAGCGCCGTGTGGCTCTGTTACGGACTGGGATGTGGGTATTGCCAAAGCTTGATGAAGCTTAGTAGAGTACTCAGATTGGCTGTGCATTTTGGTGCTAATTCGAGCAAATTGAAAGTAGAGCCTTAACAGCTATGCCCCCCAAACGCCACGACCGGAAAAGCTTCAGCAATGCGCTACCATTCGCATAATGGCAAGCCGTCCAAACATCACCAGATGCTGATCCCGCAGCGTAAGAGTCCGTTAATTTATGTTTTCATTTACTTACGTAAGCTTCCTTGATTGCTGCTGGTGCTGTAGAGACCTAACAGATGCTACTGAACTGAGAGTTGTAAAACTCTCCCGTTGAAATACTCACTCTGCTGTGATGTTCTAACATTGATCCGCGACGACTCATACTGTCGTTAAAACTCGAGATAGCGAGCACAACTGACGCTCTTGAAAGCTGTATGCGGGTTGTCGGCTCTTAAGAGTAATATGTGTTTAATTCTCAAAGTTGTCGCTCGTACATTGATGACAATGTCACCATTCTCTAGGCCTAGGTGGTATTATCCCCACAAATGGGAGCTATCAGAAGGAAGAGAGACGCGTAGGTGAAGTCATACGATCGGGGCACAAAGTCTTGCTGATGAGCCGCGCCACATAGCACGCTGACCTCAAGTGCTTTGTGTTCGTTCATCCCAAATCCTCTGCTCATCGTCTTCTTCCTCATAGTGAAGCCTTGAGAGACTGTACGTGTTGTCAGACGCTAAAACGTAGAGGATCATGAGAGCCGCAAACGATGGCCAAACAGAGAGGATCACATCGACAACTGCGGCTCCAATGTACGATGGACCCCGGCCCCAAAAATGATTCGTCACCACCATGATAGAGGTGATGAAGCTATACAGTCTGGTTATGAGCCAGAGAGAGACTGCAATGAGTAGAAGAGTAGATGCCTACCAAGTGAATTCGGGTTAGCAACATTTTCAGATGGATTCATATCTGTCTCTAAGATCAAGAAAAGACTGCCTACCTTTTGGGTAGGACTGCCCCTGGCCGTCTTGAAGGATACAACGGCATAACCAAGCAAGCCGAGGGCCGCAACAAAGAGAAAGCCAATGTTGATGACACCCATGTATTGGGCGGCAAACCCCAGCCTGATCGCATTGTCCCAATCGCCTGGTACATAGCGGTCTCTGCGAGGGAGAATATCGAACAAAACCGTCTCAGCGACCTCGCAGGCAAAAGTTGCCACAGCCACCAGAGTTACTAGAGCCGACAGGCCGAGCACCACCTTTCTTCCGATGTGATAGGCTTTGTAATCGTCGCTCTCGGCCCCGCTGCGGAGCTGGGTTAAGGCGTGAGCTAGAGAAAAGAAGGCGAGAAGAAGGGCAACATGGCCTAGGTATCCAACCAGCCCACCGACGAAATAGACATAGACAAGTTCATTCGGAAAGGAGAAATGGCCGTTCTTCCGCCAAGCGTAAGAGACTGTGATAACAATCCAGTAAATGAAACTGAGGAGTTCAGATCTAAAAAGCGTCGGCGGTGTTAGTCTCATGACCGGAAATGTGTTGGAACAGATACGGTTGAAGCTTTCTCGGGAGGTGCGGTGAAAGTTATAAGCAATGATGATAGAAATTCCTCACATGCTCCAAAGTCCCAGGGCAATCTTGGTAAAGTCAACCCATCGGCGTGTGTGATCGTGCTTGGCACCGGGCTTACGCAGGACAAGTACAGAGAATCCCAAGGCGGGGAGAACTACAAGGCCGGATAGAACGGTCCGTAATACGGATCCTGTTATATAAGGTTGATAGTCCATTGTGGAGCTACCTACTCAGATCAGAATCACTATATCTTAGAATCTAGATCGAAGCGATGCCACGTTGAGGAGTATGTTGATTATGTTCGTCTTTGGTGGAGATATGAGTGTTGCAGGAATAACGGACAAAAAGGTTCGGGCTGACAAGCACCTTAAATAATTACCCCAACTATGATCAAAATATGCGAGCCCATGATCTTGGCATTCCTCTGTCCAGCTACATGTAGCAAGGAACAAATGTGCTTTCGGTACGAGCCGGCCTCTCGCGGTCACACCCTAGCCGGGCGACAGCTGTGCCGCAGCTAGACTGAATTGGTACGCATGCATGGCTGTATGACACTGGGCCAAGGAGATTCCAGCAGTTCAGAGCCTATAATCGCTGACAAGAATATGCAGAAGGAATACAAACACCTTATGTGGTTCGTCCCCCATACGCGGCCCGCCTCAGTCGCGGGTCGGGCGCATCACTGCGTCTCCTCAAATTGTAGAATGATACCGAACATCATTTTGCCAACGCCGGGATCAAAAAGGTCTTAAATGGAAAGCTGAATTTTGGCAAGCGAATATGCTGAAATGGTCTCATGATGTCGAAATCATGTTGTGAGCCCGTAGAGTTAGTCCATGAGCCACGTGGGCTGCTGGGAGTGACTTGGTCCGAAAAGCATGAGTACATAAAGGCAGATTCATTCAGTATGTAGATAGCAAGTCACCTACGGCATTCCCAAATCTGAACAAAGATAGATAACTCAGAATGACTCATGGCCAAGCCTTTTCACTCCCTTCTCGTGATCTCCTGCTTGCGTCCTGCTAGGTGTCTACTTAATTCGCTCCGTATAAGTGGTGAACAGTATGATTATGGTGCTTTCATTCAACTTTGACCTTCGCCAGTGGGGAATCAATCCGGCACATGTAGTGAGGATTGTAGGGAATCCACTATGGAGCCCCAATCAAAAGCGAGCCGGTAGCGGTCGAAAGCCTTTTATATAGGGACGTGAGCGTTTTAATTGATGTGAATGATTACCAGCCAAGCCGAGTTGAGGATTCAACTGAGCCTGCTAGAGACTCTCGAGAGGCAGACTATTTGCCTATCATGCAACTAGCCTAGTTCGATGGGACTTCCGTAGCTTAGAAGAAGCGCACTCAACTTCTATTCGAATTCAGGGGCAGACGTCTGGTGACAGCCACTCACCCAGGGAGAGTATAATTGAGACAAATAGCAGTAGGCTTCCCCTTTCTGCTGGGAAACCCAAAATTTCTCGTCCTATTTGTCTATTTGTTGTCTGCCGAAATTTCATGGATAATGTAGTTCAAACTCAACAAGGGCTACAACTGGCAAGCACCTTTTACTGTCCTTCATTGACGTTCAGTATGTTCATCCAGCAGCATGCGTTATGTAGCTTATACGGCGACTGGACAAATCTCTGATGTATTCTGTTTCGTTATAGCCGTCGCTATCGGTGGTTTCCTGTGACTTGACTCATGATCTCACAAAGAACCGATGGATCACCGCTCTATTGTGACAATCATTATTGGATGCTACCTTATACTATGTCCAGCTATGACTGGGCTTTACCCTGATTGAAGACTCAAGACTTCGGAGATTATCGTTCCGTGGCCTTTCGACTCACACGCGGTTAAGAATCAACAGAATTAGATCTTACTCGAATTTTGCTGCCCAAGTGCATGGAGCATTTCAAAGCAGCGACAAGCATGAAAGAGAGGATGTCTATGAACAGCGGCATGGCCACCTACTAGAGACAAGTCGCTCAGTTTGATGATACCACCATCTAGCGACAGCAACACCGCTATAACACTACAATGCATTATGCCGAGCATCTTCAAGCGGTACTTCGGTCATAGCTTGAAAGCTATTCTACCTATCAATTATCGAGTGAAAAAATAAGATCGGCGAGGATCTACGTGTCCGCATCACGGGGTGTCCTGAGACTTCAACATCTCGGCTCTGTGTCACCGTTACACAGCGTACCTGCCAACATTCCAAAAACATCCCTAGATGCCCGCAACACCCACTGCCGTGACCACCACGACCACTTCGCGTAAGAGTTTCATGGTATTTTCTCGAATTCCCCCTATAAAGCTGTTTTCCACTGTCTGACACACGATGGAGACTCATGTTTCTCTCCATCCCTTGGTTTTCATATGTTAACTCTACCCCTTCCCGTAAATTTGAAGCCCAGTTCTGCCGGGCGTGTGTAGAAGTGAGTACTTAACAACTCGTCTCCTCGGGAAAACGATCCTTTGGGTTCGCCCACTCAGCCCGATTCTCCCTCTTTCAAGCACGACAAATTCGAATTCCATCATAATGATCATTTGGGACTGCATTGTGGTGGGAGCTGGAATTGCGGGGTCCGTCGTCTCAAACCGACTCCTTGAGCAAGACCCGACCCTCAAGATACTCCTAGTTGAGGCAGGCCCCAACACTCATGAGCTTGTAGACTTGAAGGCAATCGAAACGGACCCCGAAGTGACCCGTAATCACACATGGTCGTTTACTTCAGTGCCACAAGTCAATGTTGACAATCGAACTATGTCCGCCCTCGCTGGCAAGGGGCTGGGTGGTGGCACTGCCATTAACGGAGGTAAGTGGCTAGAACTATGACGGGCACATAGCCCACGTCTTTCAACTTACTTTTGACTTTCGGATCCTCGCTTACGAGACATGAACAAGGCGCTTGGGTTCGCGGCCACAAGGTCGACTACGACCTTTGGGGCGAGATGGTAGACGACGAGAGGTGGACGTATGAGGGCCAGCTGCCATACATGAGGAAGACGGAGACGCTTTGGGACCAAACCACAAACCCGTCGGTTCATGGGCATCAGGGACCAGTCAACGTCGAAACACCAGTGGAAATGGGCCGTATCTTTCCACTGCGCCAGCCGCTGATGGACTCGTGGAGAGAACTCGGCGTCAATCCATTGCCTTCTCTTGACTCTAACTGCGGCGATAATCTCGGCGTAGGCAACATCCAAGAAAACAGACACCACGGCAAGCGCCAGCTGGCATCACAGGTCTACTCTCTCAACGGCATCACCGTTCTAACTGACAGCCTCGTCGCTCGTATCCTGGTGGATCGGTCCCCTAGAGGTCCCCTTGTCTCCCGCGGCATACAACTCGAGAACGGCACAAAGATCTTTGCGCGTGAGACGATCCTCTCAGCAGGCGCCTACAATACGCCAAAACTATTGATGCTTTCCGGCATCGGACCGGCAGACATGCTCCGAGAGCACGGCATCAACGTCATTCTGGACCAGCCAGCCGTCGGCCAGAACCTGCATGATCACATCCTCCTCCCCACATTCTGGCACTTCGCCGATCCTTCCGCTGGTTGGGCCAAGGGATCAGGCAATCCTTTATTTGAGCAGCCCCAGTACGATCTTGGCGGCTTCGGCGATTTCATCACCGCCACCAAGCTTCCCAGAAAAGGCCTGGCAGATGCCATTGCACAGGACGAAGGCGGGATCTCCCCCAACCCGATGCTGCACCCACTTCTGAATCGAGACCGTGCCGTTTCCTCACATCAACTCTTATATAGCGGGATCTCAGCCGACGGATCTGCCATCATGCTCGTCTCCGTCGTTCTTATTACCACTGGTCGCGGGTCCGTCTCGATCCAGTCTGCCGATATCAAGGACGACCCTGTTATCGACCCGAATTTTCTGGGTTCCAACTTTGACCGATTTGCCGCACGGGAGACGATACGGGAGGCTGTCAGGCTCATGTCATCCAACATGACCATTATGGGTCGAGAGATTATTGACGGCGATGGAACGGATCATCCACTGACGGTGGATTCCACCGATGAAGAGGTCGACGCCCTGGTACGCGGTCACACTGGGTAGGTCACTTCCTCGCATACTTACTTTCTTCACACTTCTACAACATTCTTCGGCTTCATGATCTTACTGACGCGGTCTATCATGTAGTGGATGTTATCATCCTGCCGGCACAGCCGCCATGGGCACTGTCGTAGACAGCGACCTACGAGTGATGGGGGTATCGGGCCTTCGTGTCGTCGACACGTCCGTGTTCCCCGTTCCTATCTCGGCGAACCTACAGGTAGCCACTTATGCGCTTGGAGAACAGGCAGCAGATATCATTGGGTCGAGTTTATGGCGTAACGTGTGGTATTGGTGATTGTCATGGGTCGAGAAACAAATGCTGCTATGAAGTTTACGGGTCATTTAAATCGATGCCACTTATGAACAAAAAGGTCGTTGCTTAAAAGGTATCTTCTTAATTTCATCTAAGAAGTGAAAGAAAGTCGGAGGTAATTGTCGGCAGTGAAGCTTTCATGTCAAATCCGAGTACGTACTTAATTGGGCGTTGGTGTAAGAACAATACATGTAGAGAAGCTTTGCTCTACACACGCGCCAATGGAACATATCATAACATGTAATCAAACTGATACTAACTACATGATGAGGCGCTTATTCACTGATGCAACCGGAACTCTTAGATTAATACGATTCACAGGTGCGGATTTCACATTAGCCACTGCTTACCGCAGCTCCTAGATGCATGGTATCGAATGTTGAGGCCTCTTGGACATCTCTATGAGATGTGAACGATGTCTTGTCAGTAATCTTTTGCCCAACATACCTTAAGCTTAGAGTCAACCCGGACGACATGTAGTGTGCCGATGTCGGTGGCAAAGCTACTCAGTCAACTGATGGCTGGGGCTGGGACTGTGAGCCTAGATCGCAGTGCAAGTTATCTCCATTGGTATGACATAATTTGTATTATCGCATCAAGCTACAAAGCGACAATATGTGTAACAAGACTGGCCCACTCGAAGTTCAGCGAGTGGCTTAGCAACGCGATCTCTTCCTCTTCACAAACACAACCCCACCATTACCTGAATCTTGATCTCTCTCTCTCTCTCTCCTCGACTGTGCCAAAGTACTCTATAGAATCGTTTTCCTCCTTCATACACTTGTTCAGATTAAAGACTTTGCTTTATTACCAAGATGCCAAACGATGTCGACAGAAGATGACAACGACAGCGAACCCTGCCGCATTCGAAGTGGCAATGATGATGGAGAGAGAATGAACACAATGACCGAGAGCATGGAGGAAATTCTTGACTTCAAAATCGAAAGTATTGTCGATTTCCCAAAGCTCTCTTATCACCCCAAAGATCAGACCGCCCGATCCTCTTGGCCCTTCACCCCGCATTGGACACGAAACTAACCTCGACCGGAGAAAGTCCTCTTATTACCTCATAGGAGGAATTGCTCGTGGCCCGCTGGAAATATCCCTTTGTCTCGACAATTCGTTTGCCTCAGATCACCCGAACGACTCTCCCTATTCGGAGACTGAAGACTCTTCCTCTTCTCCGAAGTCCTGTTGTAACCTAAAAACGGAAGGTACTTCCAATCACCTGGAGACCACTCCTCGGCTGGGGAAAGAATCTAATCCAGATGGCCTAATAGCTGAGACTGTTTCGGACTCTCTGAAGGTCTCTTCTCATTTCGAAAATAAGGCTGTCTGCGATTACTCAAAATCCAATTCTCGTCTCGAATCTTTACCAGCCGAGCTTCGGTTTCTTCTTCTATCGTGGATGCCGGATCTACCGACGCTTCATAGTGTTATAAATGCATCCCCTGTGCTGCATGCGCAGTATAGAAAGACCCGCGATACTCTGCTTTTCACTTGTTTGAGCAAGGAGCTTGATGGGTATTATATTGACGCCTTCGCCACCCTTAGGTCTCGGGTAGCAATTTTCAGACCGAAGCGAACAGACGATTTGTGCGAACGGCTCCTGCCCGAAGATTATGATACCGTACTCTCAGGGAAACATAATGTTGCAAGGGGCGGTCAAATTCGCTGAATGGCGGCTTTTCATGTTTCTGTAGCTCGACCCATCGCTCGTCTGTACGCGAATTGGGCGCTTGGAAACCTCCGGCAGGTGGTATCATCTGTATCGTAATTCACGTCGGGGGAGACATCCATTCCGACAAGAACAGGAGCCGACAACGTCACACGTATTAGCCGAAGTGAGGAGATACGCATCTACAGGGCAATCTACCGCTTCGAGACGTATTGCCATTTATTCGGTCGAAACAAGGGTGTGCAGTCCTATGGCTTTCGGAGTGATAAGATTCGTAATACTTTCTTCGGAATCTTTGATCCATGGGACGTAGAGGCGTTTGGGTCTATCTACCTATTCATCAAATCCAAGTACGACAGACTTTTTGATGAGGTGAAGGATAACGTTGCGGATACCAATCCCAAGATTCAATGATAGAACTTCGGGGCTAACACCTGCCAGGGACAAACTTGAAAGGGCCAAGACTTCGATGAAGTTCATGGGTGACAACGTGCCACCTTTTTCACCACCGCTGGCGTGGGTCCTGTTATGGGATGCACAATACTCCAACGTCTTTGAAGGGTTTGTGCCAGAAGAGTTAAGGCGATGGGGCTATGTGATGTGGGATGAGCAGCGGTGGAACGAAATGGGAGGCGGAGCGAAGAGCCTCATTCGCGAACAATGGTAGTCTCACCCTGAAAGTCTTGTTGAGACCATGGAGACTGTTGTGTACTGGGGGTTGAATGGTAACGCCGACGACGCCGACGACATTACAGACGACATGGAGGGACAGTCTCAATACACTCGCTGGATTCCAAGGGGTGATCACTTACCATAGTTGGGGAAAGAGTCATAGATGAATCCTTCACTTCTCATCCCAGCGTAGAATCTTACATAGAGCCCAACTCTGAGGTGTGCCAAAGGCAGGAGTACTATGAACTTACACCTCTTCCAATAACTTCGAGACAACACTGATGGATGTGACCTGCTCCACGTTTCAGTGGAGATTGTTCGGCCCAAAGTTGATTGCGTGCCGACTTGATCACATGACGTCAGAAGATAAGATGGGGATGAAGTGCGGGCAGTGTCCGACAACGGGGATCAAGATGCGACTCACTCGGACTTATTGAGAACATAGTCTTTTAGTCTGATTTTCGCAGACTCAAATCAACAAGCTAACACACCTCCGTATTGCAGAAATGGCCGCCTCGACAGAGTCATACCTCATCATAGGCGCTGGCGTTTTTGGCGCCTCCACAGCCCTGCACTTAGTCCGCGCCTATCCCGACGCCAGCATCACCCTCGTCGACCGTAACGCCTATGACGCCCCGATCCGCGTCGCCGCCTCCTGGGACTGGAACAAGGTTGTGCGCGCCGACTATGTTGATATTGAGTACATGCGCCTCTGCCTCGAAGCCAAAAAGTACTGGTCCGAGGACCCGATCTGGAAACCATACTACCACGAAAGCGGCGTCTACTGGGTCTCGCCGAATAACTTTGCAGAACAAATGCAAGAGAACTACAAGAAGCTCGGAGTCGACTCTGGGTTGTTCTCTTTCTCTGTCGAGGAGGCGAAGAAGCAGTATGGCGGCATTTTCAAGGATGCTGATTTCACTGATGTGAAGGAGGTCTTTGTCAATAAGAATAGTGGATGGGGTGAGGCGAAGGAGGCATTGCAGAGAACGATCGAAGAGGCTGTGAAGCTCGGGGTGAAGTACATTGAGGCAGAAGTTGAAAAAATTGAGTTCGATGACCATGGTGCTGCAACCGGTATCAAGACGTCAAAGGGCGAGAGTCTTACCGCCTCACGAGTTATTCTGTCAACAGGCGCTTACACGGCTAAGTTGCTTGCTGATAGCGCACCCGCAAGAAAAGACCTTCAAGCTGGTGACAGGTTCGTAGCAGCAGCTGTTACCGAGGGGTTTACGCCTGTCTCTGGGGAGAATGCAAAGGACTATTACGACGGGCCAGTTGGCATCTCCATGGTGCCCCCATCGAGAGGTATGGAAGAGTTGGCTCCAACTCAACCCCGCTGTGTTTTTAATACTAAAGTTTATCCTAGGCGCAAGCAACGGAAGTGTTCCCCATTCCAAAGACAAGACCTTGAAATTCTGGGGTCAGATCATCTTCAGAAACACTCAGACTCATGCAAACGGAAGCCAGATATCTGCACCTCCCCCGGCAGTTGACTATGCGCAGCTCGAGGTACCAGATACTCTGAAAGAAGATGTTGACTATGCTGGAAAGAGCCTGTTTGGGAAAGGAAGCGAAACATTCAAGAACGAGAACTATCGTATCTGCTGGTATGTATAGAGGCTCCTGAAGGACTCGAGTCAAGATGAAAGATGCAATGTCTTGCTAATACATGTGTTAGGGAGGCTGTCACGCCCGATGAAGACTTTATCATCTCTCCACACTCTGCAAGCAAGAATCTCTACGTCGCAACCTGCGGATCTTTCCACGGCTGGAAGTTCCTGCCCATCCTGGGTAAATATGTCGTGCAGATGCTCGACGGATCTCTCGAGGAGACTTTGGTAAAGAAGTGGTCATGGGACCGAACATTCCCATCGCCCACTCACAGGGCCTGGCCTAGAAGAGAATTGAGCGGTCTGAAGTAATTGCTTCCAGCGGAAAGGAATGTAGGATTGGTGGCTAGCATATGATAATGAGATAAAGAGGGAGACCTGATCGATAAACTCGTCCATGATTAGTGCTTCAAAGATAAGCGCAATTTGTTAATTTGTTTCGCGATCATGCCACCCCTGAAGATGCGGCACATGGTCATCATGAGCGAGTGGACGTTAATCTTAGAAAGAGCTAATTGGTAAGTCGATGGGACCCGTCCCATCTCCCCACCGTTGTAAGTGACGATCGACACGGCTGCATGTAAGTAACGAACTTGCGCGGAAGACTGCTAGACAGTTGTAAGCGTGGCGTCTCGTATCTGCCGCTATGCGCGCTGCTGCGAGACAAAAGCAACCTAACCTGGCCATTGTGACGCAGCGCAGGAAACGGCGTGGAAAGGCTTCGGATCAGGAGACATGTGCTGGTGCCTTGGCGTCCTTCACATGTATTTGATAATCACTGCAGCTCGCCTAAGTGCCTAAGCTGAAGATATCAACTAAGCTTACTGCTTTGATCTCGCATTGGCACCAACTTCGCCCAAGGCGGGAACGTTAAGTTCAATCCACAACTAGTGATGCCTCTTCTCTTCTTCATCATCGTCGGCCAACTTTTGAGTCTCGCACTGGCAGGCACTGAGATGGAATCCTCAAAACTAAAAATAGATGTGCATGCGCACTACGTCCCAGACTTCTATGCGCAAGCGCTCAGAGACGCTGGGCATTTACCTGGGCCCGATGGCATGCCCGGAATTCCCGTCAGTATTTATCCCTACGAGCACCTGGAAAGGCTCTACGATATGCTTATGCGGGGTGATAGGAATGGACGCCCGAGGCACATCTCAACTTCATGGATGCCCAGGATATCGAGAAATCGTACTTGTCCATCTCCAGCCCGGGGGTATACCTGTCCGTACCATCAAAGTACGCGACTGAGAAAGCCATCAAACTCGCACGTCAAGTAAACGAATATGCATCAGAATTAAAATTCAAGTATCCCGACAATTTTGGCTTCTTTGCATCCCTTCCCCTCCCAGATGTGAGCGCGTCCGTCGAAGAAATCAAATACTGCTTCACCCAACTCGACCCGAAACCTGACGGCATCGTGCTCATGTCCAACTTTTACGGGATGTACCTCGGCGACCCGGACCTCGATCCAGTGTACAAGGCACTGAACGAGGTGAACGCCACAATCTTTGAGCATCCTACCGCACCTTGTACCGAGCACAACCACTTGAGATTCTCAATCGACGGAGAAGACCCCGGTATCGCACCGCCGGAATGGCTTACCCTGAACAGGCCGGTGGCAGGACGACAAGGACGAGCGCCGACAATCGACTTCCCCTTTGACACAGCACGCACATTTGCAGACTTATTCTACTCCAAGATTCCGACACGGTTCCCTCGCATCAAGTGGATTATGCCTCATGCCGGCGGCGGTCTCGTTCCTACTCTGGATCGGATTGTCAGTTATAGCACGCCGGATGTCAATCTCACGGAGTCGTTTATGAAAGCTGCATTGGCAGAAAACTTTTACTTTGACCTTGCTGGACCTTGGCCGGTTACCTGGGCGATTCCTCCTCTGCTTCGGTGGGTGAGCTATGAGAAGCTGTTGTGGGGGACGGATACGCCTTTCACGCCTTGGGCCATGGCTGAGGCTGGGAGAGTCAAGTTTGATCAAGATATTGAGGAGGCTTTCAACGACACCAGCAAGGTCGAAGCTGTGAGAAGGAGCAATGCTGCGAAACTATTCGGATGATGCATTGGTCGTTCGGTGTCATCAATCTGTGGGCCTAAAGCCAGGTTATTTCTATCAGAAGCCTTGGTGCTGATAGAGTGAAATTATTTTGGTATCATTCACAATACCGATACAGAAAGCTTCTAGCTACGCCCACATCTATTATCTGTATACTTTCCGACAGAAAGCCTACTCATTGGTGAGCGTATCATCATAAGCCCTTCACCGAGGTTCCCTCGCGTTGTCTCCAAGTAAAATACCTGGAAATATCATCATATCAGCACCAATCGATGAAGCATTCGGTGCAACGGAAGTCGTTGATTGTAGTTATCTTATCCGGACAAAGAGTTGAGACCCCGAGGCTCGACATGCCAAACAAGGCATTTCTTGCCGGACTGGTGGTGTGGGTCTCCACATCGCCGACCAATATAGTACGAACAACGGACACCATCGTCACGTAAAAAATTGGATGAGACGGCGTCTTGTTCTTAGCTCACCGGAGTCGGAATAGGAGGGGTAGATGACGAATGATATAAACCCCCACGAACACAATTCCTCATCACCAACAACACCGTAGAAATTGTGTGCCTTGTAGACGACAACTTTTCTAAGTTTCTGTGCCGTAACAACAAAGGAAACGCAAGGAAAGATGGCATCAAAAGCTCCAGAATCGCCCCTCATAGTAGACCTCAAATCCTCCACAACAAATCCCCCAGAATCATTCCCCGAGCAATCCCGCGGCAACGCAACATGGCACACCCTCGTCTCCGCCCCGGGGACAGTAACCGACTCCCTCAGCTCCGGCGTGGCGACCTGCCCGCCCAACGGCAGCCTGGCGCTACACCGCCACAAGCAGGCCGAGATCTACTACGTGCTCTCCGGTAGCGGACAAGTCGAGATCAACGGCGTCCGGCACGCCGTGTCCAAGGACCAGCTAGTGTGGATTCCCGGGGACGCGGAGCACGGTGTGTTTTGCGACGGCGGGGAGACCATGACGTGGCTTTATGTTTTTCCGGAGGGCAGGTTTAGTGATATTGTGTATCGGTTCAAGCATGAGGTTTTGGGGGAGCCTGAGGTTCGCGCGAAGCTTTAACGGGGGAATATGGAGTGAGATACATGTTTGTGTGTAAGGAGACACGTCGGGAACATTGAAACTGGATACTTACGAGCGAGGTGACTTGGGAGAACTTCAAGACCTACGGAAGCTTGATCAAAAGATACGTAATATTCAACGAGGGCTGGGACTCTCAATGCTCTGCATGCACGTTCCTCTCCTATCGTGCTCTCTGGATGTTCACTGCGCAGTAGGAGCAAGAGCCTCAAACTCCTTGATACCAACACCACCAAACTGCCCATTCCCACCAGAAGCCACCAAAACCGCACGAATACTCTTGGTCGAAACCTGGTTAAAGTTGACAATCGCAGGGTTATCCGTAACGGCAGTAGGATACGCAGACGTCGCCGTGACCGCGATCCACGCACCGCTCCCGTTCAAGTACTCGATCCGCCAGCTCGCAGGAGGCGGCACCCCGATATTCGACCCAGCAGGCTGGTCAGCGAAAAGCACCATCCTCGCCCCGTTCAGCGTCACCGCCGAAGGCCACGTCAACACGAGCGTGTTGGTCTGCGGGGAGGCGGCACCGTCGTAGGAGCACCAGTAGTCTGGCGGAAGGGGGTTCCCGGGGATCCATGCGTCGTTGATCGATTTGATCCAGTACTGAATCGGGGTGCGGTTTACGGAGCTTGCTGTGGCTTTGGTCGCGATGTTGCGGGTTGCTGGCGCGGCGGGCTGAGCGCGACGCGTCTGGATGACTTTGTTGATACGCGGGGGTGACTGGTTGTCGTCCCAGGTCATGAAGTCTAGGGCTATGCTGCGGCGGAAGTGGCCACCTCCTGTGGCATCTCGGGTGTGGTAGACTAGGTACCACTGGCCGTTCAACTCAAAGGCACCTGGGTGTGACGTGGTTGAAGAGACGATGTCTAGCATCACGCCCCTGAAGGTCCACGGGCCTAAGGGCGAGGAGGCGGTTCCGTAGGCGATACAGGCATGGTAGGATGTCGGGGTGCATGGCGAATCTGGGCCGGCGTTGTTGGCGGCGTAGAGCATGTAGTACGTTCTCTGACGCTTAAGAAGCCATGGAGCCTCGAAGAAGCCCGTTAAGCTGTTGACTGATATGGCTTGTCCGATGGTTGTGACCATATCTGTCGCGAGTTCGATGCCACGGAGCTGACCGAATGTGCCCCAGTAGAGATAGACCCTCCCGGTATCGTCGAGGAGGACTGTCGGATCGATATTCTGAATGGTGTTCCCTGGCGATGGGACGGACTGCGAGAGGATAGGCCCACTGGGGTGAGCATCTGTGAAAGGACCCCAGGGGTTGGCCGAGACAGCAACCCCGATAGCGAACCGATCAGAGTTCGAAGTCGAGGCCTGCGTGACGGGGGCGTAGAGGTAAAATCTCTTGTCCGGGCCCTGCACGATTTGAGAGGCGTAGGCAGTTCCGGACGCAGCCCACTTGAAGACGGATTCCGGGCGGGCAATATTGGTGCGTAGCTGCCACTGTGCTCCAGAGGGGCGCGGATCGGTGCTGCTGAGCATCTCCCACTCGTTCATGATGAAGGCATTTTGGGTTGCGGGGGCGGTGTCTCGGCCGGTGAGGATGTAGATGGTGTTGTTCACGACCAAGGGGGCTGGGTCTGCTGTGTAGTAGGTTCCATCGGCGATGATGGGGTTTCCGGTGGAAGTGATTGTTGTTTGGGCCTGAACCGCAACGCAGAGGCCTTGAAGGAGAGTGACGACGACAGAGGCTAGAGAAGGCATTTTGATGATAGCCTGAGCGAAGCCTGCGGAGGAGCTGTAACTGCCGTAAGTACTGACAAGTAACGTGGGAGAGAGTCGGACCAGCGTCGGATGTCAGCTTATATGGCTTGAGATTTTCTACATTTAAGGACTTGATTTGAGACGTAACTTGCCTGGTTGAAAAAGGCCGATCAATTGCAAGGGTAGAAAGAAGTATCGTCGTTGCGCATTTGCGGAGACTTGACGGATGTGACGCTAAAGGTGCATATCTTTTCGTTCCTCGTATCATAACATGTATATACCGAAAGCCCCGTTCAAGCAAGGTGCACATCGAATATCGACGGAAGGCATATCTCCGGACTCGCAAGCGTTTGGTGGCCTCGAGAGAGCCCGTGTGAAGGAGAGTGAGGGGACGGAGGATGGAACGGGATGTGGCTAGCAACTTAGAATCAAGGAGACAGGCCCAGAACAGGTAAAGGCAGCTAAGCTAGAGCTTTCGTGGAAGTTGAAGAATACGAGGTGCTGCGACTTTGCGGAATAGGCTCTTCATGACATACTCGCATTCTCGATGTGTACAGACGAACGCAAGGGACTCGGAACAGCACCGAACGGTACTGCAAGTACGGACGGGACTCCGGTGGGATCTATCAAGCTTAACTCAAGTGTCCACATCTGCTTCATCTGGAGAAGCTGGAGGGGGGTTGCCGCTACCAAGTGGGAAGGTGACATCAATCTCCTTACCCCCAGTCATATGCTTAAGACAACGTTGACAATTCGCCGAATGAATCGCTAGCCCTGATTGGTGCGCAATTCGATGCACTCTCGATAGCCAAGACTTTGGAACAACCGGGCCACTCAAAGATGTCGATGATGGTCCCATGGAGGTACGGTAAATCTTCTCGATCCTTTGGTGCCCGCGGGCACTTGCCCAGCTTCGGTGCGTGGAGTGAGCCTCGATGGCTTCGAGCGTTGACTGTCACGATGTTGCATCAGCCTTTGGTCATGATCTGGCAGCAACAATGGCAGCTCGCGCAGCCTAAGTCTCTGTTCCGCTAATGACCGCCACAGGCATGGAAAATGCTCAAAAAGATCCTTCACTCCCAGTCATGACCAAACACGCTTGCACCACATGCCATGCAGACTATTCCAAAACGCCAGGCTCCCTATTCAATATATGAACAAATCATGGGAGACCCTTTCCAGTGCTGAGAGCCCACTTCTCCACCAATGCCCACAGTTCGGCGCCGCTCTCGCCAGATCCTCCATCGCTCTGGTCATCGTCGGCCAGAAGGGCCTTGATCTCATCGCGGTCCGGAACAGCGTAGCTCGGTGCCTTTGTCTCACTCTCCTGGATTGCCAGCCTCACCCAGGGATCGAGGTAAGGCCTCGCGGTGGCCGGAATGTCCTGCTTCATTGCCCAGGCCATGGCCTGCACCGCTTGAAGGAGGTACATTGACATTCGGACGACGCGCGCCGAGATACCGCCCATCATGCAGAGGCGGGTGAAGAGGTCATTTGTGGCAGCGTGGCCTTCGTTGAGGTAGGGCATGAGGTGTTGCATGGCCACAAACATGACGCGGGTGATGTACGAGTGCGTACAGTATCTTTGTAGGTATGACTCTGCGAGGGTTGTGTCGGAGATGCAGTGCTGGAGACAGAGGGACTTCACGGTTGTTGAGTGTGGGGTGAAGGGAGTGTCGAAGATGGTTGATGGGCTGAGTGACTGCAGGACAGCATAGGCTAGCTCGTTCTCATGCATCCTGATTGATGTTAGCATGATTCCCTGTTTCATTATCTCGCCGATGACGACCGGAATTGTTAAACTTGCCTCAAGAAGCAAGTTGCAGGAGTGAAGTTGTATTCTATTTGAAAGCGTTTGGGTAACGCTTCCCTGAACTCCTGCAATCTGCAATACCAGTGCTTCTTGCGCCTCAAATCTTCGATGCTTCCCTTGATGGTACTGCCAGACGTGAGGTACGACATGACATCATACTGTAGCCTGGCGAGATTGGATACAACCGTTGCAATTCCAGGGATGATTGGTATCAGGTTTGTAGATTCTAGATAGGGTCGACCGAGAACGTCGACGTTGCCCAGAGGCTCGAGTGCGTCGCGTCCGCAGTTGTCGAAAAGCCTGGGTATTGACGGAGGTGGGATATCTGCGGTTGAATTGTAGAAATACGATACGCGGCTATCGAGGCAAAGTGTCAGTTTGATATTGGGGATTCTGACAGTTGGGTGGTTTCGTTGTGGAAGGGGGGTGCGTACCTCTCCATCAAGAAAATGGCCCACACAGCTTTCGAGATAACGAGCATTTCAATCGCATCGTTGGGATCGTCTTTGTTGAGCTGGGCGAAGCGTCGCTCCGGTTTGAAGCGTTTGTACCTTTCCCAGGCCATGAAGCGGTACATTTTGGCACTGGCCTCGTCGCCTGCAATACTGGCTGACCAGTCCACGAGGACAAGGGCAAGGATTGTAGGGATTGACGCCCGGCCATGGCTCTTTTCCACCAGCTGCATAACCTCTTCCCGGAATTGCCTCGCCAGATCTTGACCTGTGTAGGTATGAAATTCTTTGACGGTTGCGACGAATGGCTTTCAGAGAAGTGTTAGTCACGATATGCTCTATTGAGATTGTAGGAAGTGCCGAGAAAAATGTGCAGAAGAGGGAGGACTTACAGCACGGACTGCACACATTGCGTTGACCAAGATAGGGGAACACCACTTGGCGCGCTTGATGTTTCCGGACCTCATGTCCTCGAGGAACAAGTCCTGCTCAATGGCGGGAAAGCAACTGGCATTGTCCCAGCTGAAAAAGTCGGTAATCAACTCGGAGACTATACCATCGTCTGCAACTGTGGTCCAGGGTTTTGCCGGCACGCGGAGGAGGCTGTTTTCCATTGCCCTTTCGTTGAGCTTTGCTAGACGCGAATCGCTCACGCGGTCATTGACGGGGAGAGAGGGGAGCAGAATTTCTGCTTGGCGGATGGATTCGAGGACTCTGAGGGGGTCACCAGACAGGCGTATACGGCGAAAAATCTCCTTTGCCTCGTCCTCGGATTTGGTGCAGACCATGCGAAAAAGCTCCCTGTACTGGACATTTTCGCTTTCGAGGTCGTTTGCCTTGCGCTTGAGCGCGAGACTCACGGTCTCGCCCTGGTTGGCCTCATAATGGCACTCGACGCCCCTTTTGGAGCAGTGTTGGCATTTTGGGCGATGGCCGTCGCACTGTGGAATCTCTCAGTCTCGGATCATGGTTGCCAACCCCCTCTCTTTCTCTCTTGTGAAGGGAGAGAGGTAAGTTTGCGTCAGTGATTGTTTTACTCACCTTTGCCTTTCTCCGGCGGCAGTTATCGCAAGCAACTGCAATAACCTGTCGTTTGGAAGCGGTCCTGGGCTTCTTGGCATCGGCTGAGGATGAGTCGATGCTCTGACTTCTGGACTGAAGATCGCGACTCGTGTCATTCCCGAACAACGGTTCCTCGCTACTCCCAATTCCTCCGGTCGATCCGCGTCCCGAGGCGGATGGCTGGTTAGACGGCGTTGCTACCAGTGATGATGAAGTTGATGGGAACGATCCGGAGGGTTGGGCGCCCGGTGCGGGTAGAATAACGCGACGACGCTTTGCGGGGAGCGACATGAGATTCAAGCTTGACCGCTTTGCCTTGTCCTCCCTCCCTGTTTGTCTTCTGTGGTTTTCCGTTTTTTGTCTTGATCCTTTCTTTTCCTGGGTTGATTTAATGGTCTGTTCCGGATGAGACGGTTGGCCGTGGCACTTTTTGCTGTTCCAACGGCAGTTTGCTGAGGAATTTCACCTCAACCCCCAAAACGCATGGACCAGCTCTTTCCCCTTGTTGCGTTTTCCCTTCACTTTCTCTCTCCTTCCCTGGTGAGAGGGACTGCAATGCAAGTCTGCGCGGGTTGCCAGATTTGTCAGACTCGCTCTTTCCTTGGAGGGTAAAATACCGGTAGACTCGGAGAGAAGCAATACGAAATGAAATGCAAGAGAAAAGAAAGAGGGTAAGCAGGAACGACCGAGGGTAAATCGCAAACTCCATGCAGGTGCGGTGCGAGTGCGGCTTCCGCTCTTTCTCTCTCAATTATCCCACCCGGCTGCTTGCTTGCTCAGTTGGGATTTCGGGAAGAGGAAGGAACACACTGGTGACTGGACAGTGAAAGGTCTCGAATCTCGATCGGTGGGCCCAGGTCAGATACCCATCACGTGGGTCCATGTGAGGAGGTGCTCCCATTGGCTGTGCGGGTGTTGCCAGCCAATGGGAGGGGTTCGGAGCACGCTCCTGATATTGGGTGGGTTCTGGGTACACCCCTCCACCGATGGCAGCATGGGAAAGTGAAAGAGGGAGAAGGAAAGGTCGATCTGAGATGTGGAAAGCGAAACCGATTTGGTAGGACCTGATACCTGCGACGGAGGCAGAAACAATGGCAGTTGGGAGGGAAAACACGATGGAAAGTGCCAAAAACACCATCACCAAAAAAGGGTCCTGATGAAAAAAAACAGAACCACAAACAACAGCACAGTCTGACGGATACGGAGACCAAAGACAAAAAACCACAAAGGAGGGGGAAGAAATGAGACGGAGCAATCAGACCAGCAAAAAGGGCCAACGCACTCCGACAGAATTCACCGTCAATCTGCATCAAATCGGGCATCAAACCCGTCAGCGGCTGTCCCGTGCGGGTTGAACCATGCCATTGACCACCCTCCAAGGCACACCAAGAGACACCAAGGAGCACCAAGGGCCCCAGAGTTTGCGGACGACGCTCCGTACCCTCCGAGCTAAGCTATGCTGCTAGTCTCAAAGGGGAATAACCAGTCAGCGATCTCGAGCATAATGTTGCATAATTCAACCGCCGCTTTGCATTACACCTCAACCTGTCCTTTTATACATCGGCACCTGCCGCCGGCGCTGGACCTGAGACCCCTCTCTTGCGTCAGACGGCTTGGACTAGCCCATATAACACGAGTCATTCAGCTGGACTCGGCGTTGCTGCGACTTGGAATTGCCGTATTGTCCCCTTGACGCGACATTCTTGATCGAGTATACCTAGTCTCTGCTAAGTATCCGTCTTCTTACCGATAGACAAGACGCTGATACACACTGACAAGCTAGAGAAAGCATCCATCTCCCTCGAAGGCTCTCCACACCAAGGGCGAGATATACCGAGACATTCAGACACACCAAAGACGCCCGCTAAGATTACTCATCGACTTCACTCGACGACCGTATTCAACACATCGTAGCCACTCTCCGCCAGCCATTCCTTCACCAGACTATCCGTGTACTGGTCAGGCGTGGCCACGTCAAAAAGAAAAGCCAGAGGATCGCCCTGGCCATCGCCATCCGTTGTCTGCCCTTGACCCATCATTCTGTCCGCGTCCGCAGTCCCACCTTGTTGATACGACTGGTGCTGGTTTTGTTGCTGTTGGTCATTTGTGTTCGGGATACCAACGGTAGCTCCCGTAGCGGCGGCGGCTGCTGCTGCTGCGTTTGCCGTTGGTCCAGAAATGCTGCCCTCGACCCCGCTGAGTCCACCCCAATGCTGCAACAGTGAGACATCTTCACACTGGTACCATTCTCTCGCCAAGAGCCGCGCCGCTCGCAAGGCCCTGTCGCTCCACGCGCACCACGCTGTCCGCAGGTCTCGCAGAGCATCAACGCACGTCTGTAAGTGCCGTATCGCCTGCTGCCGGTTCGGGTTCGATGGCCGTGCATCAATTAGGTGGATTACCACGGCCGAGAAGCACAGGTGGACCGCAGCAATGGGGATACGCCGCTGTTCAAAGTATGAGATGTGAACCAATCCTCGATAAAAGGACAATTCCGTATACGAGAAGGGGGAAAGCACTTACCAGCGTGTATTGCTGCTTATAGATGCGCAGCAACCTCGAAATTTCAGCCGCTGAGTGGCGGCATGTTGCCATGTGCTGGTTGTCGTATCCATCGCCATCGATGCTACCGTCATCGGTTGGCGTATTTACACTAACCGAACGTCTCTTTCGCTTATGAACGAGCGGTCTGTGTAAGAGAATTAAGTGTGCATGATACTGAATGCTGCAGTAGAATCATTTGTTAGTCATGACCTATTGCCCTGCTCGCTTGCCTCTCAAGAGGAGTATGGGAACATCGCAATACTGTCAGAGAAGAACGTACTGAAAAAGACAAACGTGAGGAAGCATCGGGACCTTGGGCGAGGCCGGCAAGCGAAGATAGCTCGGCAGCTCTCTGTAGTGTGTCCGCAGCTGCACGTCAGTTTTGCTAACGACGTCCTCAATTTCTCGTGTCGAGAGTTTGCTGTTGGCGGCATATCTGAAAGACACAATTCGTTAGAAGAATTCGCAGATCAGAGTAGGTGTGAGGCTGGAGCCAACATACATTATGTCCATTGATTCGCAAGCAATGGTAAACGTCTCGGATACATGACAAGCTGTCGATGAGATGTGTGAATGGACCCCGAGAGACTTTTCGACACCCAGTGTGTCTGACGTCGGTAGCCATGGAGTGTACTCTTCGTTGCTGTCTATGCTGGGTTTTGGGCAGGAAATGGTGGACTTTGGCGTGCTACTTGGCCGGCCCAGCCCAGTCGAAAAGAGCCTTGGGATATGTCAGCCAGCTGCTCTATCACAATCTCATGTGAGATGGAACATTCCAAGTGAGAATAGGAAGAAGCGAAAACAAAAGCAGACTGCTCACTTATCGACGACATAACATCCCCACCACGTCACTTTCCGCGCTTCAGCCTCTTCTTCGGTGAGCAGACCGGCAGTGGCCCATTTGGAACAATCGAGATGAAGCCCAAGGTTATGTGCCATTCTCGTTGCGTTTCCTTGTATTCATTAGCAGGTCAACTTCATAAATTTTAAGATGCAACAACACAACATACCAGAGTATAGCCACCCCAAAGCCTCCTTACCATCCGACATGATCCTCAGCGCAAGGAGACACGCAGCCTGCACCGTCGTAATCGTCGGCGCCTCACTCTCATACAAGAGCAGAATCTTGGCGTGCTCGCCAAACGCATCCCCAGCGGTACTAGGATCATCCGGCACGGACCGCAGCTCGGGACGATCAGAATACCGCGCCGCAATAGCAAAGATGGAACACAGCAACAATGGTGAACAATACGTCCCGTCATCCTCGCCGCGGTAGCTCCGCAAAAAGGCGCTCTTGTGAATGACGTAGTTCCACGGGTTCTGCCAGCGCCAGTAGAGCTCGAGGAGGTGGGCTTGCAGTTCGTCCGGGACCGTGACCATCTTACCTAGCTGCGCGGCGGCGAGGAGGCCCTGACGCTGCATCTTGAGGGAGGGCTCGCGCGGGTCCGCGGCTGAGTCACGCGGTTGTTCGCGGACGAGGTTGTAGGAGGACTGGGAGCCGAAGTAGTGCAGCTGGCCGTCCTCGATCACGTTGAGGCGGCCGACGAGGCCGGTGAGGTCCGAGAGGGGACCGCCTCCGTCATCGTCGTCGTCGCCGGCGCTGTCGTCTTGCGGGTCGTGGTCCTCGGTAGTCTCGGCGGCGAGGTCGCCGGAGGCCGGCTGGGAGCCTAGGGCGACGACTTGGGCTTCTAGATGTCGGATCCGGGCTTGCAGGGATTCTACGTATTTCTTGCTGGGTGGTCTGGGGACGGTGACACACGGCCGTGGCTGTCAGCGGCAGCAAGCACGAACCGGTCGTGATGAGATCCACATCTTTGTGGGACTCGCGGGGAGACCGGAGAAGAGGGGGGGGGGGGGGTTTGGGGCTTGGGGCTTGGGGCCTTTGGAAAGGGGAGGGGGGGAGGGAGAGAGAAGGGGGGAGGCCCTTAGTTCACGACTTACCGGCGTTTATTGTCTGCGTGCTGAAACTCACACTCGGTGCCTCTCCTCGTACAAGAGCCACAGATGGGCTGCTGTCCATCGCACTGGCGGGGTTTCTGGTGTCACTACAAGGAAGAATGGCGAAAGGGAAGTGTTGGGAGGTAGGCTATGAACGGGGAAACGACTTACTCGCATGCGTCTCTGCCGGCACGCGAGGCAGGCGATGGAGACCCGCTGTCTCTTTTTGCCTTCGGGCTGCCGTTGGGGAAGAGAGGTCGACATGGCTCAGGTGAGTATCAAAAGCCCGTATAGTCGGTACACGCGGGCATGTTCTGGAGGGGGGGGAGTACTGTGTATGAGAGCAAGGAAAGCAAATAAGCGCAAATATGGGCCCAGTCGGCTAGATTTTACTCGGTTGACAGAAGAGGCATTTTACATCCAGCAAGTCAGTGTGGATGTGTGTTTCTGACAGGTCCCGACGATGTGGTAATAGAGACCGCAGTTTCAATATAATTCAACTACCGATGGGATGGATCATGGAGGAGGGGAGGGGAGCCAACGACGCGCTTCAGTTATGAAAAGAAAAGAAAAAAGGGAGAGGGAAAACCCCGCACTTCCCCAATCAACGCACGCTCAGTTATCGAAAAAGCTCCGCCCAATCCACCCGTCTGCTTCTACTAGACCAAACTCTAAAACACAAAGGGGAATGGAGGGGGGGGGGGGCATCAGCTGAGACTCTAAGCTGAGGTATTAGGAGGGGAATTATTTTGAGAGAGAGAATGAAGATAATTACTAACTAAGCGAAGTCACAACTAATTATATGTCGCTCAACTTCCTCTACTCTCTACCTTACTTGACAACAAAAGACACTCATCCGACAAGTTTCCCAACGGATATATCTCTTCCTGGGAATTCTTCATCATCCGTCACTACTAACTAGAAACAGCCTCTGATCTCATCATTGCTTCATCCTCATATCCTCCTCTCAAGGGTCGGCCGCGTAGTGAACGGGACGCGCAGGGTACTTGTTCACCCGCAGACTCAGCTGGTCGGGACGGCAGTAGTGTCCGACGATATCGAGGTTCTGCTTCGCCTTGGCTTTCTCCGCGAGGTCGACATCGGCATACAAGATGCACTCCTCCCCAGGCGGCGGGCGCTTCACCAGCTCCTCGCCAAAGGGGGAGTAAATCATGCTGAAGCCGCCGCCCGCGCCGACCGAGTTTGTCGCGTACCCAAACTCGTCGATGCGGCACCGCTTCTTGGACTCCTCGCTGACGACCTGCGTGCAGACCATGACGAAGCACGCGCCCTCGAGCGCCACCACCTGCGAGAAGCGCATGCTCATCTCGTCCGTGATGTGGTGAGGCCAGTCGGCCTGTCTGACGCCGTCCTTGTCGGTCGGGTGAGGCCAGAGGACGGGCCAGCTGGAGACGTGCAGGTCGACGTCCTGCTCGTACTCGTAGTAGCGCAGGAGCGTCTGCGTGTGCTCCCAGCAGTTGAGCCCACCGATCTTGACCGAGGGGTGGAGCGTGCTAGGCGCGACGGTCTGCAGGGACTCGCCTTGGCCGTCGCCCCAGTAGGCGCGCTCGACGTGGGTCGGCTTGATCTTGCGGCGGTGGTGCACGATGACGCCGTTCTCATCGATGAAGGACTGTTTTGAGGTGTGAGAAAGCGTTCTCATTGAGAGAAAAAGAGAGGTGAGAAGGGAGAGGCAAGTGCCTTACCTGGGCAATGTACAAGGTGTTCTTGAATCTCTCGCTGTATCCGAGAACGACAAACACACCGGCCTCCTTGACGGCGGCGCAGATGCGCTTCATCTCGTCAGAGTCCTTGACGAGCGAGTTGCGGAAGTACTCGTCCATGAAGGCGGCATTATCGGTGGGGGACTTGGCCCAGATGCTCCTTTCGACGGTAAGAAATTAGCCAAACCATTGACGCGGAGAGCGAAACGAAAGGATCCGTCGCGGACGAGAAAAATGGGGAGGATGTGTGTGTCTCAATTCTCACTCACCATGGGTATCCGGGAATGAAGACCTCAGGGAAGCCGACGACATTGGCGCCCTTGCTGGCAGCCTCCTCGATGAGAGCGATGGACTTGGTAACACCGCCCTCGAGGTCGTTCCAGGCGGGCTCGGCTTGGATGGCCGCGATCTTGAGCTTGGGAGCCATTTCTGGGAGATATCCGGAGTGGATTTTAAGGTAAGAGTGATTGGGTATTGAGGGTTTATGAGGTGAAATGAGAGAGACTGTTGAATTGCTGGATGATATTCATCTGAACTCGACTTCATTCACTGGCAGATTCTCTCTCTTTTGTAGCTCAAAAGCGAGGCTATTCTTTTCCGCCTGCTCCAACAAACATATCTAGATGAGGGGTTCTCCTGTGCCGCATCGCGAGCGGCTCAGCACTATCCTATCCAACACATCTAGAGATCGTCTGTTTACTGCTAAAAAGGACATCACAAACTATCCCAGCCTAAGGGCCCTTCTATCTCTTACAAGTTACATATTCCCCAGATTTTCCCAACGGTTAAGCAATACCCTATCCGCATCGTTGGTCCCTCCGTCTGATGTCGTGTCACTTCCCGAGCTGAGCCACTAGCGCGTTATCAATGAAATCCGGGGTAATTCGGTGAGGGAGAGGGGTTGAAGCCTGCAGACAAGAGTAATGCACGCGATCCGCGTGGTGGGGTTAGCTTCACCGGTTGAGCACTATCCTATCTAGTGCATCCATGATTAGCTTGGTATTATCGATTATGCTGTTGGTTAGAATTGGGAGTAATGCGCCCGAACCATCTTTGTAAACATGAAGGTTTCACTTCTCCTCGTCGGATCCCTGAATTGTATGACCTCACTGCCCGTCTGTTCCGTCCCAATTACGTGCACATTATCTGATATCCTCCCTAGTGGTGTTCACACCACGACTTCGTTTCAATCGTTTCTAGAATAGCTTGATAAGTGTTTTGGCAACTTATCCGACAAGATGAGGTTGCGGAATATTCAAGCCCGCAATGATTATAGGATGAACGTCGTCTATATCCTCCAGACGTAACCCTGTGTCTTCAAAAGCGAACCGCCATACTGTTAACCTATCTCCGCCGCGCTATTCTCTCAACCCTTCACCGAAAGACACAGTCGCCGCCATGGAACTCGAATCCGCAATCCCAGAATGGCTCCGAAAAGAGCGCACTGTACCTGCAAGGACACCACCCGGGTTCACGCCTCCCTTCGAGCTCTACAGTTCGCGCTTTCCCAAGACCATTAAAGACATAGTCATGGCCATCATCGGCGCCCAGTACGCATCCGCAGACCTCAACGACGGCGGTGCCCTGAAGACGATAGCCTCCTTCACGACCTCCGACCGAGTCGCTCCGGACTCGCGCCCGGCCTTTCACGAAGCCGCTGCTGTGGTAGATAATCGGGGGTTCTATAATGTTGCTGTGTTTGCGTACTGGCCGAGCAAGACCGCGTACGAGGAGTGGTCTACTGAGAGCGGTTTCCGGACGTGGTGGAGTGAGGCGAAGCCCGGGGACCAGCCGCGGCATGGATGGTTCTTGGAGGTGTTTCTGCCGACGGCCGACCGGTTCGAGACTGTGTTCTCGACGGCCGTGCCGGAGGGTGCGGCACACATGAGAGACAGCGTCAGTGGACCCATCAAGGAACACGTCTACTGGGGGAGCATGAGAGATCGCCTGCCCGTATCCCAGACAGACGAACTTCTCGGAGATCCGGAAGAAGAAAGCAAGCAGAAGGCCAACGGATCAGCGTCACAAAACGGCGAAACCCATCTGCCGGAGAGGGTCCGTGTACAAGGCAAGAAGAACCTCACCGTCATCCGCTCCGGACAGGACTGGTCCGCAGCGCTCCCCGAAGAGCGGCAAATCTACCTCGATGCGATGCAGCCCCCGCTGATCAGGGGCATGGAATACCTCCGCGACCACGGCGACGAGGTTGGCTGCTTCAGCTGCCGCTTCATGGAGATCGTCGACCCCGTGACGGCCAAGGGCGGGCATGATCGGACTTTCGGGCTGGCGTACTTTGACAACCTCGCCTCGCTGGAGCGCTGGAGTAAAGAGCACAGAACGCACCTGGCCATCTTTGGCGAGTTCGCAAAGTATGCCAAGAGGTTGGGGGATCAGATGTCCTTGGCATTATTCCATGAGGTTCTGGTTCTGGAGCCTGAGCAGCAGGTCTTCGAGTACATTGGGTGTCATGATGGGACGGGGATGCTGAGTTCTTTGCAATGATTGGTTATAATTAAATGAGTACTTCATTGGACACGTTCTGTTTTCAACGTGGGGGAGTGATGAACGTTTTTCCCTTGGCTAGCACTCGCCTTCTGTCCCTGATTTCCTTGGTCATGAGGGTGATACGCAGTCAGTCGATGTGTCCAATCGCAAAACTACCTTACAACGTTACCCAAACGCTCCCGCCCGTTTTCAAACTCTTGATATATCAACTGGCTCATATTGAACCAAAGAACACATTCCTCAACTAGGTATCCTTCACTGGGTCGGCGATAAAGCCATTATCAACCCACGCAGTACCATCAATACCATACACTGTCACCCTACATTCGCCCGAAGTCATGCCATTCATCCTATTCGTATTCGTACAGAAGTAGATAAGCTTAGTCAAGGCCTCGCCCAATCGTGGAAATGTTCCTTGTCTGATATTTGCCCTCTGCGCGGGGCCTATTCGGTGGCCGATGCAGCACTTGCCTTTCTCGTGGTCAAGGCAGTACCGACGCGGCTTCTTCTTTGTCGTGTAGCGTGCCAGAGCAGGCTGAACTTCCCATAGGAGGATCTTGCATACTTCGACCGGTGCGAGATTCGACTCGTCGCACCTGTAAGGTCTTTTGACATCGTCGAAGTCTGCTTGTTCTGGCGAAATGCCTGGCTCGAGCTCTTGTCGGCGTCCTATTTGGGAAACCGCGGTGTCTTTCTCGAGACTTGCGTCATCTTTGGTCGTTGGCGTGATGTAAATGAATTGGGCTTCAGCGTCGTCGGATTCCTGGTCCCAAATGGTGAATTTGCCCTGCTCTTTGGACCATTCTTCTGTGAGAGCCCAGCGTGAGTTCATTTTCTTTCCTCGACGAGAGTCCCTCTTGGCAGCTGTGACGTGAATATTTATGTGGTGTGGCTGATCTACCTCTTGTAAGCTTCTCTTCCTACGGCCACATCTACATTTCTTGCACCGCATACTGGAGAATGAGTCCAATATTGTATGAGGATTTGTATGTACTCACCCTGTATTGATATTCCGTGATGGGTAATGTTGATGTAAACGGAACAGATGAATGTGAAATTCGATGGAGAAGGAAAGTGTGGGAAACCCAGTGGTCAGCACCTTGATAGCGAAGTCAGTGCCGTCTTGTCCCAACGCTTCAGGCCGAAGCTTCGATCAAACATTAGCCCACCTTATGTGGCCTACAAGGTTGCGGTTCAACACGACGCCACGTCCCATGTTGACGTATGTCCACCTAGGCAAGTTGCTCAGGCCTACCAAGATGCTTCGGAATTTCTCCTTATTCATATCAGCTACTTAACCGGATTATTCGTGCGCCTGGAATCCATGGAAAGCCATACTTTCCGTGGTGTGTATCCTATCTCTGTATTTGGTATCACATGGCTTTCACCTTCCACAGAAGCACTTCTTCGCAATGTCTCTTTCTTGCCAATGATGTGGATGAATCTCGTTTACAAAAAATAATGGCAATTTCGTCAGTCCTCATAGATGATAGTACTACTTAATACCTTCACATTCATGTAGCCTAGGCACAGCCTGCATGTAAGTCTACATCAGGATCGTATTCGGGATTCCAAATCCTGACTATCCTAGCTACAGATTCAATCGAGGACTCTGCCAAGTGGCCTTATAGTGATTTTGCGCTACTTGTCATGAGGTAGTTTGAGAAAAAGGTAATTATATGGACTGGGCTCTGTCACAATATTTGTTTTTACCGTTGACGAGTTATTTGATCTCGTTTGTATCTATCAGCCGCGAAATACTCTTTTGCACAGGAAAGTCGGTTTTAGATGCTAGGAGTAGTTCATTCTACTTCGACGGCTCTTCTTATTGTCTCTATTCATCCTTGCTCTCAAAATAAGACTCTCTGTCGGCAGAATTGAGTGAAGCTACACCCGCTTAAGATGGCTTGTACCCATTTCACTCCCCGAGCAGACATGACCACCGGCGATTCACTGTCGTCCACCTGTAAAGAGATAAGGTATCAACAGAAAGTCATTCAGAAAATTTCCTCAGCAATCGGGGGCAGGAAGTTGAAAGCGATGTTGAGCCTCCCTCCGGCTGGCCCCTCCTGAGAACTAGCGCCAGTCTCAGATTGCCCATGTCTTGCATGGCCGCCTACACTCTTGCAGTAGTTCTTGGCACTCATGGTTTCCACGAATTAATTCACGATCAGATATTAACCAGACTCCATTCGCGTCCAGATGAGATCTCACATAAGCGGTCTAGGTCTTGTCCGAGTCTAGACTTTGCGTCGCCGGAGGAAGCCGCATCAGCAATTTGACCACGTGCTCGGACTAAACGCCTTTTGCTCTGTTCACTGGTACTGTCTCTGCCTAGGGCCAAGATAGTCGAGGATGAGAATCATTTCGTGAGTACGGACGAATCTTGGACCAAGCGCCATTCCAGATGCCGTGATCCAGGGCTCGACCAAGGAATTGAGGGAAAATGGGTGAGATTCCCCGCCTCGGAGTCTTGGTAGAAACACAAACACGTTCGATGAGGCGTCAGCCAAGCCACACGAAGGTACACAACGGCCTCGCCGCCAAGTGTAAAAAAGCTGTAGAGAGTAAGGACTTAGCCACCAGTAGGGCACATCTCACCCACCCGTGCCCAGCCGTGCCCAGGTTGACCTGTCCATCAGAACTAACGCATCCTGTAATTTTACGCCACCGTCCCATCTCTGCCCCGAGCTTGCGGGATATGATTGATAAAGAAAGGCTAATAATACGGGCAATTTACGGACAAAACAGCGATAATAGCGGTACCTTTAGAGGGGTTCACGCAAAGCTAGCGGTATAACGACGCAGAGTTTACCCTGTACTCGGGTCAATGCGTTGATTCTGCCCATCATTTCCGGCGCATCTCTAATACGGCGCCCAGAGAGTGTCCTGCGCGCCAAGCATCATGGAAAACGCGGCATCAAGGGTTCAGAATCTGACGATAAAGCAGTGCTCCCTTACCTTTACTTTTGCTTAGCATGTCTTGGCTCCGGCGGTTACAACGTTCTACCAGTCATGCATCTCGAGGTTCTCGTCCTTCCCTCCTCGGAGGATTTCTCGAGGCCGGTTACAATGCATACGGGAGGCGGAAATGAACCCCCTTCCCAAAGGTTATACAGGCCGACCAGGAGGATTTCCGTGCTTCGCCCCGCAGTTCGCTGTCGAGTAATAGAGTATAAAGCTTGACGAGGCCCTCACGGTAAATAGGTTACGATCGGAGGTCTATCGCAAATCGCAGCTAGTCTCTCCAGATCCCGCTATCATAATGATCACGACAGTATTCCTTGGCGCGCTGCTCATGGCGTCTGATGTCCTCGCATGTGCGGGACACCAGAACCACTATGCCATGGCAGACAGGAAGCGTGCAGAGATGGCTCCGTTGCCGGCTTCGGACTGGGCCTATGAGGCCTCGTTCAATTGGGGCCGCCTCAATCCAAGTAAGTTAAAGTTGCATTCGTGCCAAATGATCGTCCTTGATGGTCTGGACTGGAAGTACAGGTACTGACGCCGGCACTCAGACTACACCTTGTGCCAGACCGGCACGCAGCAATCGCCCATTGCGCTCAGCCTCAACAACGGACTGGCGCTGAACCACATCCTCCGGTTCAACTATCCCAACCACACGGCGGGCAACTTTTACAATTGGGGCTACGGCCCCGCCTTCACCGTTACGCACCCGGAGGGCGTCTACACCGGCAACCCGTCCTTCACCTACGACGACATGAAGCTCTACCTTAAGGGCTGGCACATCCACTCGCCCGCCGACCACTCGGTCAACGGCGACAGGTCTAAGGCGGAGCTGCACCTCGTCCACGTGGATGAGGAGGGCCACGAGAAGGCCGTACTAGCGATCCGCTTGGACCCCGGCAACGCCAACAACACCTTCTTCAACCAGCTGCCGCCCATGATCGGCTTCAACGACGTCGGCGTCCAGCAGGAGATCGAGATTGACCACATGCCGGCGTTGAACAGCGTGCTGCAGTTCAACGAGTTCTGGACCTACCGCGGCAGCTTGACGAGTCCGCCCTGTCATGAGGGCATCCGCTGGTTCGTTGCGCGTCAGGTCATGTTCCTGGGCGTCGACCAGATGAGGGCCATTCTGGGCGCGAGCACATACAGCGCAAGGGCTGAGCAAGAAGTTTGGCAACATCGCATCAACGAGTGAAAAGCCTACGAGATTCACGATGTGAAATCTGTAGGGAGGGGCTTGAGCTTGGCTGCACTGGTGTGTGTGCCGAGGAGCTTGGAGAGCAGGACGCGGGAGTTGTGTGTGTGGCTGAGACCTCCATGTCGGCGCTCCGGCCGGGGGTAACAGCTTGAGAGGCGGTCACGGATGCGCCGGCGAGATATTATGACGCCTTTGATGAGTCGGCCGATCTCTTCTTTATTTTTTGTCAAGTTTCCTTGGACCAGCATTTGATACCATTTAGATCTCTTATTATCTCACCATCACTTGTCACAAGACACTTGTTCGTTTTCGTTCCACGGACACGACGAGGTTAAATTGAGCTTAATTGCCTTTCCCCTGTGCTAGGTTTGATCCACCACTTTAGCGGACATGAGCGGACAGCTCTGCCCCTTGATGGCCCACCTGTGCCCTGTCAATCTTCTCTTTGGGGATTTGGGGTTGAGATTGACCCCCTCAAAAAGGCGCCTCATAAGGTTCCTCGTCTGCCGGTCATGAGTCGCGGATTCATTTTAGTGCCCTAGAAGCAGGGCGATACCATGCCAGGAGGGCGGGTCACTGACCCAAATATACCGAATATAGTTAGGGAACACGGCGGTCTGCCAAACTGTAGGAGTTCTACGATTAGGGCTCAAAGCCTGAAAGAGATCGATTTGCCGGTCGCTGAGATATTCTAGGAGACACCAGTGCCAGTAGTGAGTGTTAGAGATAGAAAGAACGAAGAGAACCACGACAATGTGAAAACTGTACAGCTTCAACAAGAGCTATGATCTTGCCGATTAGATCAAGTTGCTCTCGGAGTTCCCTATGTCTTGCCGTTGATCCAGGCCCGCCCCTCATCTGGTCAGTCCCACGACCTCAACGCCAAGAATGTTTCTGGATGCTTTTTCCTAGGCCCAGCCTCAGTCACCCCATTTCCCATAGCCCTGGTACGTCACGGTGGCGTGTCTCTTAATATCTCGTCCATCCAGAATCTGCTCTCCATCTGATCAAGCCTATGATTCACTAAGCTTGCGTAAACTGACCAAAATGATTTGTTACCGTTGCCATGGCCGGGATCAGCTTCGTAACCTTACTCGACTACGGCTGGAGACCCCGCTCCAGTACCGGCAGAGCTGCCAACCCAGCTAGCAACCGGTGCAATCGAAGTAAGAAAAAGTCAAAAGAAACCTTGGTAGCGAAGCTCCAATCAGGATACAACCTAAACCATCCACATCAAATCTCCCCCAAGAACTCCACTGCCGGCTCTCACATCCCAAAGACTCGTCCGCTCAACAAGCAGTAGGGCGAACGCGGATTAACCCATCTCGTTTCATCTAAAAGACGATCCCGATCCAATTGGATGAACCCGAGAGAAACAACGTCTCCCCACATGTTGGGTAACTTGGTGTCTTGGTTTCTTGTTGATCACCTACAACACAGCCCTGTTCAGCGCAATCACCGTGGCTGAGATCCCAGGCTGGACCATTCTTGGCCCATTGGGACGAACCGTCGCTGTTGGTCCGCTGATGCTTGGCAGCTGCACCTCTATATAATTAGCAGTGGCCGAGCGATGATAGTCCCCATCCGGCGGTGGATTATAAGGCAGTATGGATGGTGGAGTTGCGATAGTGCAGACTTTTGCAGTAGGGGACAGCGAAAATCACGGAATGTGACGGGTGTTGTTGACGTAGTGTATTTGTTGGACAGATTGCCAGGGTTCCAATGGCCGCGTGGTCCCGTTTCTTGATCACGTTGTCTCTGGGTCAATCCGTCGACGGCGGAATATCTCTTGCCTAGATCTAGACACAAATGCCCTCCGTCCCGCACTTCCCCAGACCGCGTGGACGCATGGGCTCTTGATTTTGGAAACCCATCTGATAATCAAACTCTTAGCGTCCGCCCCGATGCGTTCCGAACTCGCTTCCGCCCTCGGTCTCTTGGCCGGCCTGCTTACGGCTGCCGAACCGGCCTCGGCTCGGCCGGACATCTACGCCCGCTCACAACAGATCCGACGTCAAAATGCAGAATGCGCTGAGGACCTAGCTGACGTCCTGGACAATGCGCCAACGACGTCAATGTCATGGGGAGCTACGGCTTGCGATTATACGTCTACACTCTCAGGCTTAGAACTCTCCGTTACCTATGCCTCATTCAGGAGTCGAATGTCTTCTTGGTACAGCGACGATCTCGACGACATCACCAAGCTCGAAGCCAGCTGTACACAGTACAGCTCTATCTTTAATCAGATCCGGAACTGTTACGTGACTGGAGCTATCCCGACTGCCGCTACATCTACATCAACAACATCATCTTCAACTACATTCACTACTACGAGCACTGGGTCTGGAGGCATCACTACGGCAACTGTGACAACTACATCGACACCCGACAGTGGGAGCGGTATGGATGATGGCGCGAAAGCTGGACTTGCGATTGGGATCATCCTTGCCGTTCTTCTTTTCATGTTCATTGGGTACAAGTTCTTCATGAAATACCGTCAGAAGAAATTAGCCGACGCCGCAGCAATGTCATCGAATGCAAACGTTGGACCGGAAATGGGAGCCGCAGCCGCGGGAGGAGCATTAGGTGTCGCTGCTCTGGGTAGTACCAAGTCACGACCAGAGCAAAGCGAGGTGTATGCATTCAAATCAGAATTGAGCGGAGAGTCGAGACCAATGTCCGAACTCGATCCACGACCGATATCCGAGCTCGACCCAGCAGCAGCTGTTGCCGCCAGCGGTGCCACCGGCGTCCATCGACATGTTGCGGAGCTGGACCCTGATCCCCCGACCCAGCTGAGTGAGCTGCCAGCTGACAACTATGACCCAACCGCCACGACGAATTCGCCTCCCCCGGCATACGTCTCTCCGGTTACTGATACGGGTACTCGAAATACGCTCTACTCGGTGGTCTCACCAGTGTCACCAGACTTGAGTACGATGCGATCGTCAGGATTAGGCATATCTACAATTTCAGAAGCAGATGTCTCGCAGGGCGCCGATAGTAGTGTTACAGGAGTGGAAAAAATGCCAACAACGCAGAACGAGACAGTGCAACAGGGATGGGGCAGAGGATGGATGCAAAGGGAATGAAACATTCACCATGGCCCTTCTAGTGAAGTGAATGGTACATCATATTGGCCATAAAAGCGAGAGCATAGACAGCTTTCACACGCATGAACTGTGCGATGAGCAGGAAAAAGCCAATCGGTGGTGGTTCAGTCAGGTTTCCCAAAGTCATCGAATTTCTTGACATTGCTATCCTTGATGCAGCCTATCTCGACTGTCTCCTATTAGATACCCTCTTACTACAGTACAGAAAATTCATTCTTGTTTCAAATCCGGGTTATCATCGCCAAGCCATACAGCTGCTCGAGGATCTCACTGGAAAGCTTTTGTGTCAAATATGGAACATTATGTTGTCATCAGCACTTCTCTCGTGACAAAGGATGCTCCTGCAACTTTGCAATCGCATCAGCGATATTCTTTCCCACCTCCGCTCCCTCCTTGATGAATGTCACCCAATATTCTTTCTCGTCTTCCAGGCGGACACTACCTGAGCGGATATACTCGAGGAGCGATCTCTCCCATTTTTCACGTAAGCTGCTTCTCGCCAGAATTGGATTCATCCATTCGGTAGACTCTCGGTCTGGATTGAGATACACAAGCGCTCCCAACAAGGACCTCCGTGTTCCCAGATTCGCCCGAACGCACTTGAACTTCACTCGGCACTGATGTTTGAGCCAGTCTGAGGCCGCATCCTCGGATGAGTACAGGTACGTCACTGATAGGGAGCAGAATGCGGTACAAAACGTGACGACGGCGGCATCCCAGCCTTGAAGTGTAGAGGCGATGATAATTATAGACCATTGTGCCATGATTGTGAATCGAAGCATCCAGCGAAAGAGGTTTGGCCGTCTGGGGAATACCTTACGCTGAAGTGGCCTATTCAGAAGAGCATTGACAGAGTTTCTCGATCCAATGAAAGCGTTCCAGTCCTGACCATTGAGACTACTGGCAGACACAATGAGCCTCTTCGATATGTTTCCGTTGTGTCTGCCAGGTTTAAGGCTGCGAGGCGCGGTTCCAAACAGTTGGCCGATAAAGTGTCCTGATGCCGGCATGAGAAGCAAGTATATCATCCCATAAAACGTGCCCGAAAGTAGCGAACAGATGATACCCGCTGCCCATAAGATCCACCCAGACAAGCTGACCAGAGCATAATGTAAAGAGACTGGGCCCCATACTATGTCGATGAGACGACGGATCGGGCCGTACGGACCATCGGATGTTTCATCTTCCACAACATACACGTAGAGCTTTTGCTGCCGAGTTCGATCTCCAAGGGCCACAAAGCTATTTTCAACCTTGACGTCGACTTTTTGACTCCTTAAGAATAGCCTCGTTGTTGCGGCTGCTGCACTAGGGTAGTGATCTCCAAACTTTGTGTCCATGCAGTGGAGTGTAGGCACTGCACCTGGTCGATCGAGACAGCATGCGTTTGTGGTATCATCTGTGGAGAGTAAAAGGCGAGCGCCCTTTGGCGATATTGGCCAACACCATGCGGGCGTAAGCCCTGATAGTTCAAATACATGGAGCTTGGCGGCTTCCTCGATGAATTCGATGAGGGCCGTAAGAGGAAGGATCCCGACAAGTTGCTGCGCCCAAGGAGGCAAATTTGGTAGCTCGATAGCCAGATTCATAATCAAAGTTGTCGATGAGGATTAGTGTTATAGTCTTTGCTGATTGGGCCCACTCGTCTCGCGACTTGACAAATAAGATCATGTTGCTAGGCAGCGCTGCTCAAAATTGTCAACTTCTGTGCTTGGACGCTGATGAGCCTACAGACGATAGAGTTTGTCAATGTTGCATTGGTATTGTTGGTTTCGTGTCTACGGTGACAAAGTCAGGCTTTAACTAGAATCAATTATGTACAATACGGCTTATGGCCCGAGCATCATGGGTCCACGAGGCGGCTTCCGCGAGACAGGTGGTACGTATAGTGAGTTGGGCTTCTACCGTCTCTTCCTTGGGTAGCTGTGCAGGTTGTGGTATCGGTCCCGCGCATGACCGTACCAACCTTTGCATAGGCACTTGCATTTACATGCGGTCTGAAGAGAGGCTGTGCTCAATGGCACATTCAGAAATAAATCAGGAAACGTGCAGTGCGGCACGGGCAATATGAACCGGTGGTTTGTCAAGGCGAAGACCGAGCATTGACAGCGGCAAAGGCAAGACAATCCAGGACCTCGACGTTGGTAGACCTATCATCTGGTTCGCATATGTGCGCAGCTGTTGGGAATCAGCCTGAGGCGGAGTCTGGGAGTCAGCCTGCAGAGGGGCGCAGTCTCAAACCCAGAAGCTAATCAACATGAACTGTTAGGAGATGCTCATGTACTGTAAGCGAGTCAAATGAACTTCTGAAATTCGTGATGCAGAATTAATTGATTCTTGTATAGGTCCAGTTCACCCGGTTTCACCCCGGTCAAGTAGCCAAACCCCAATATCTCCTTTTCCCTTTGATCCCGGACTATTGCAAGATGCTGATAGGTACGAAGCAGTGTGGTCACTGTATTCGAAAAAACTGATGCCAAAATAGGCTACTTTGAATGCAGTTGGCTTTGCAGTAGTACAGTGCTAATTTTGGGAACGCCATTGGCTCTGTCTCCTATACGTTCAATATGACTCCCTGCCAAAATTGGGCCAGTCACCATCCTCGCCCCTACCAGGTCGGGTGACCTCGGAACACCGTCATCCTATCTCAAGTTTGCCTCCAGCCGCCGCAGTGCGTATGGGCGAGGGTCTCCATATATTTCAGTTCCTACCAGAGTACGACACATCTGCGAACTTGTTTCCAAGGCTCGTGTAGTGCCTCCGCCGCACTTTTGAGTACGACATCATGTCATCGAACGATCGCAACATGTGGCCGACTGGCCCAGCAGGCCCCATACCCGGTACTGCCGAGTACCTCAATTGTCTTGTCGACAGCACCGGGAAGTGCAAATGTCTTTCCAGTCGCCCGAAGGCAGGGGATGACCCCAAGCTACCGAGATTTTTGAGCTTCTTCACAGAGATGGCTGTACAGGAAGCACGGGAATATAGCCTCGTGCCTGAACACCCGATGTTTGAGCGAGAGATAAATGCTTCTGAGACAGGACCATTTCGGCCTCCCATGAGCCGGTTGGACACCAGAAACATATGCATGGACTGCTACAAGAAAGCAGCCCCCGAGGGCTTCACAACATGGTCGCTTTCATACGAAAAGCGAACTTTTCAATATGGTACATTTCCACCTCAAATTACAGCTGGAAGCCCCATCGATGCCGACAGTTACTTGGGCGAAAGATCGATAAACTTCCCATCCTTCGATGCTCGGGTGATCTTCAGAAAAATGGCCCATGACGGGCGCCCTATCTATATCGACCGTCTACATGGAGAGACGAAGTGGATTCCAAACCTTACTGACAAGGTCGAGAGGGAAAGGCAAAATGCGGCAATCAACAGAGAAAACGGTGCAGCTTACATGAGTGCTACGAGAATCTACAGAGCTGACGGGGACTTTGGTGCCGGGCAAAACACTACGGCAGAGCATCGAGTTGGCTACGGGCGGCTGGCAGTGGTGAGACCTGACTGGCGTCTTGCAATGCCGAGGGAAGACTCACCCCAGAAAACCCCCTCGATCCCTGCTACGGAGATGGGGGAACCTTCCGAGGACGAAGAAGAAGCTAGCCAGCAGATTACTGCTTCCAGACCTATCCGACGCGATATCCCCCGCGAGTGGCTTCCTCCCGGTCCGTACGCGGTTTACACGTACTACATGGAAAATGCTCATGGACAATGGCCTGAGAAGCCGCCAGTCAGGCGACTCTCGATATCTCGCGTTGACAAAATCGAGACAGATATGACTGGACTTATCAATCCAACCGCGCCGAGTCAAGAAGAATTAGCGCGCTTTGCCAGAGAGAAGGAATCAAGGAAACGATGGGACGAAAGGGAAAAGTATCTCAGTCGTCATGACCGCATCCGGATCGGCGATGCTTTGCTAATAGCCCACGGTTATCCCAAAGACAAGATCCCCAACATTCCAACCGAGGCCTACGAAGACATTGTGCGCATCTCGGATGACGATGACCGAGGTCCAGGCGTCTGGGAGTTGCGTGACTCTTTCACAGGAACAGGTACGCCAGGTGGTTTCTTTTACGAAAACATCAGCAGACAAGATCTAGTGAAACATTACTATCCTTCTCGGAGCCCAGGCTTAGGCTTGTCGAGTCCACCTACAAGGACTTTCCAAGTAAGCGATGAGGAGGTTTACCTGCAGTATGGCGATTGGAGTGAGGATGCTAGGTTCAAAATAAACGTGTACTCTATCGAAATCACGAGACCTCAGAAGGATGAGACTGATGAAAGTGGGATTTGAGAAGATCATGGCTGTGTCTGAACGATATCAGAAGCGTTTACAGGGCTATGCGGTGCCTGAGAATTAGAATCATTGCGTGGCAACATAACCTCAAGAAGTGTACTTAGCCCATCGTCATCCATTAATATGAAGAGGGCAGCTGAATGAATAGTCTAGTTCTGATATCTGATTTCTTTATATTCGAGTATCCGTGTTCTTTCATCGGAGCTTTTTCAAAAGCTCGAGTCATTTGATGGCACCGTTGGCCTACTAGGCTACAGCCGTGAAATTGCTAGGGATATTGGAATTCGGACAAGGGCAATTACTTCCTTGTTGAACTTTTGATTCTTCTAAGTGTGAACATGTAACCGACCCAGAACCCAATTACCCTGACTTCAAAAATACAATCTGGTGGAAACTCCTTTTCAGGAACCTGCTCTTCTACTACTTCCGGGGCTATGCAGCAGTCGTAGAGGACGGCGTTGATGTCGCACAGACGGGTGATGTGATCGTAGTTGGTGTCGTTGCGTGGACGTAGATAACCTTCTGGATCTCCGGGCCGATCCCACCCCACCAAGGCGCCGGCTCCACAGTGGTTGTGACGTGGTTACAGCCGTGGCAGTCTGTAGGCTTTCCAATTGTGACTGTCTGGTTGTAGATTGTGATAGTGCTCGTCGGCTGGTAATCGCCAGTGAAGCCAGGATCGAGAACCGTTATTGTTGTCGTGCATTCGCTTTGAGTCGCGGTGGGTTCGAGCGAGGCAGCAGCAGCAATGCCCGCGAATGCCAAAAGCGTAGAGTATAGTGAAAAGAACATCTTTCGGAGATTTGGAGTTCAAGTGATGAGATAGGAATGCTTGTTGTGTAGGGAATATCTAGACATAAGGGCTTGGCAAACAGTCTTTATATCTTGAAGCGGGGTCTAGGGTCCGCAAGACTTGCCCGGAACCCGTGGAGCTGAGATTCCCTGTGACTCGCTCGAACATCGGATGAACGGCACGCTAGATGAAAGCTACGAACCCATCGAGAGCTATTCGTGCTGGTTTCTAGCATTCTGAGAAGACTCTCAATATCGTAGAGTTAATGAATGTGGCTCGTGCTTCAACTCCACGGATCATCACTGGGCACTTTGAGCATGATGTTAATAAAACGAATCATAATTACCCCGTATAATCGGCGACTTCACTAGTCTTTTCCCCGTCCCCGAAGATCTTTAATGTGGAGGCTCAACTATTGCAACTTGTCAAGCCTTAGCAACTCATCTGAAAGTCTTGGATATCCCCTGTTATTCCAGCTCGTGATCAGCCCCTTTTGAAAAGCTTGTTTACTGGCGGCCTTCAGGGTCCGAAACTTCCGCTGATGTTTCCTTGCAACTGATGATCCGACCGAGTAGCTGAAAGCCAGAAAAGGGGCGAACGAACCTTCATCGATGCGATTGTCATGCGCAAATAGGCGCACTGGTGAAACTTCTCACTTGAAAGCAGGACTTCGCGGGATTCCAACCCCTTTGTTAGGAGGAGCCCGACGCGTAGCCCTCTTCGGAGGTCAAGGCTTCATGCTCTTCTGCAGGAGAGCTTGTCGTCTTGCCCAGGAAGATATGCAGCGAGCCAGAGGGAGTGGACTAGGAAGCATGAACGAGAACTAATACTTACTAGCACTGATCTCAGTTTCTCACAGATGTGGTTCTGTCTCTTCAATAGCCAATTGATGGCTGCCATCAGCAACCAAATTTTAGCAACGATATCTATACCATCACCCAAGCATGACGTTGTCTATTGTGGGCACAGCGAAACCGAGCAACTGTCTGCTCAGCTGATGTACCCTCGAAATCGACCCAATCGTCCGGAACTAAGCGCACCCAAACTGGGGCTGCAGCGATGAAGACTGATTTATCCTGTACCATCTTTCTGCATTTCTCGTTGTAGGTCAGACTCTGTTGTCGAGATTGTGGCCCAAGCCATGAAAACTCACATCTAACGACTGTCCAAGAGAAGAGCTTAATAACACTGATCAACGACATTACCACATGCGACTAGTATCTTGAATTCCTCAAGTCGTAGCCTGAAATGCAGACAAGTGCATGGATGCTAGAGCCGTAGCGATGCCGACCCAGCCTCGATATTGCTTGTCGATCTCGCATGTTTGAGATGTTGTCCAAGGCGCCAACTGTTGACCAGCTAGCTGCTGAGGATCTAACCCATGAAGCAGAACGGACTACCTCTCCTTGTATGGCCTCAATAGAGCAATATTTTGAACCACATTGATGACTGTACGTATGTCAATGCAAGAGCTGAGTTGGCGAAAGCCAATAGCCTCGAGTCTCTCCGGTTTCTTCTCGGGCGAGGTGGCTGTTTCCTGTCGATAACGTTGCCGATCTTCCAACTCGTGCATATGACGAAGGCCGAGCGCGCATGAGCTTCCGAATAATCGTAATTGCGTGGCTTGATGTGTTTGCTGGATGTGAACACTCAATGCAGATAGTTTCCAGCTGCTTGTTCTTTGACTACTATGACATCTGCGTGGAGCTCGGCGGGGGATCTGTACCTGAGTCACCGAAAATCACTACAAAATAGTCAGTCGAGTTTCAAGAACTTGTTGTAGCACCACGTTTGCAATAGAACATAGTGGGTGTCGAGTTTAGTTGAAGGGCAAAAAACATGCGATTTCATACCACAGAAATAACGTGCTCCCAGCGATGTCAGACAAGTCTCACTTCATTGGCTCTGCCTCATCGCCAAGACCATTGCTGATCCAACAACAGCGCCGGTGTCATTCTTGCAAATGCCGAGCGAAAAAAGGGTTGACTTGAACTTGGTAGGGAGAAGAAGAAAAAAGCACAAAAAGCATCTTACTTAGCTTTAGACGATATTCCGTCGGATGTGAGGCTTTCCGGAAGATGCCCAGCAATTGATTCCTGAAAGAGCGCCCAAAACGGGCTGTGTTCTGGCGCGGGTAGGATGGAAAAGATCGTCAAAACTGCCAGCGGAGTATTGATTTTCAAATGTCCGTAGTAGCAAGCCGCGAAAGCCAAGTGTTTCCCACGTCAGATTCTCTATTGGGCTGCATTGGCAAACGATCCGGCGCGTCGCGGTGCGCATATTTGGGGGAGAGGGCCAAGCAACCGCCAAGGAGCTTGCCTCGAAATATTGACGCTACCGGACGAACCTAAACAAGACATAAACTCTCCCACTTGGTTGACTTGTGGACGGCAAGTCGCGCTTCCGCTGCCGAGTCCCAAGTGATCGGCGGCGTCATAACCGTGCTTCTGGTATTCGATGTTCCCCGGATTAGGAAAGTGTGCCAAGGAGCCCCCAACTCTTCGACGATTTGCTGCGCCGCGGCGACTACGGGAGAACGGGAGGCAAACACCGCAATCTCAATTCCCTTGGCCCATTCATCACGACAGCCCAGACCGCGGTAATGGCGCCGGCGTACAGCGCTTGATCGTTCCTCCGGTTCTTGGCTGAGCGAACACATCACCAGGCCGTAGCAGTGATGCAAGTGAGTGTAGAGGCGCTGTGGAATTGAGGGGAAATGACCGTACTTGCCGAAGATGCACCTGGGGTGTAGCTCGTAGCTGGATATCGAGGTTTACTACATATACAGAGATGAAAGTTCCCTCATTATTACCAAGTTCCGATCTGTATCACATCATTTCATCCTCATCCACCTCTTCTAGTATCTATCAATCCCAACTGTACATTCATCCCCAGTCACTCACTATCTCCCATACCATCACAATGAAGTTCGCTATCATCCCCCTGGCTTTGGCTACTGCTGCCTCCGCCGCTCCCATTGTCGAGGAGATCAAGCACGCTGTCGGCTGGACCAAGAAGGGAGGCAAGGGCAGCTGGGGCTCTTCTGGCCCCTTTCACTTCACCTCGACCTACGACGTGATCGCCACACCTGACCAGGTCGTCGATAACAATAACACCTTCACTGGTGGACTGGCCGGAGCCATTGGCTACTTCAACTACGGCATCAACTCCAAGGAGAATGTCATCTGCTACAACATCACCCTGGTCAACTTCCAGGGCGAGTACCAGTCCCCCGCCCGCACGGCAACCCACATCCACCAGGCGGAGAAGGGCAAGGCTGGCCCCCCTCGGTAAGCACATGTATAAATCGCTTGATAGAATCAGAATACTAACTCAACCTCACCAGCATTGCCTTCCCTAACCCGGTCGCCGTCGAGGGATACCAGAACGTCCGCCGCAGCGTCGGCTGCTTGACCGGCCCCTTCGTCACCGGTGTCAACGCCACCGGTGTCGACACCGGCTCAGGCTTCAAGGTCAGCCAGATTGAGGAGAACCCCGAGGGATTCTTCACCGATGTTCACTCAAGCCTTGCCGTACCTGGTGCTGTCCGCGGCCAGCTTGGCGACGACTACAAGAAGGACTGCCCCGAGGACAAGAACTAAAAGACTTTACGGAGGTGCAGGGGCTGAAGGGTGTTGATACCATGTCGGCTTTATTATACATCGTGCTGGCGATGGCGGTGTTGTACTTGGTGTAAAGGGTGTTAATCCCATACTACCATCTATTCCGTAATTTTAATACTACATTACTCAGGCTTTTCTACATAAGTTTTCGCAGACCGGGATTCCTCTACAGGGCCTGGGTCTATGCGACAAAATTAATTGGGTAAAGACGACTGGGCGATGAGATGAACGATAGAGTGCATGGTCGATCGATAGTTGATCATGCTAGATTTGGACGGTTTCCAGTCTCGCTGTCAAACTGTGGCTCTACACTACACCTTTAGACACTGTCTCCCGCTGGATAAATAACTATTCGGTATGAGCCTTCTTTTGGTGAAAGACCAATTATTATTCAAGGTGACTCGACACAATATCCGACACAAACTCAGACCAAGGTTCACATCAATCACTATACAATGTTATTACTACCCATCACATCTCGCGCTCCTCGATTCTTTAATTCTTCTTGTCACTGCACCAAATATTCCTCGTCTACACCTGAGCAAGCAAAGTTCATTGTGAAGCGCCTATGTCTTATTCCGACCGCTTACTTTGCGCTATTTCGAAACGGCCACGGTAGATATCAATATGCTTGACACGTGCCGCGGTGCTGTGAGACTGGAATGAATAACAATTTTACAAGCCAAGTTTGAGAAGTGAAGAGTCTATTGGAATCTAGGCCTCAAGGACTATGCTAGACAAGGATTGATGTATGTCTCACCTTAATTCAGGAGACAAGCAGGTGACCAAGGGGCCACCACGTCCATGGGATTGGGGTGACAGGGTCACCAACGATTGAGTATGATGGCGTGATTTTAGGGAAATGTTCACAGTCAACTATTTTATATCACACATATCACACATCGGTACAAGTTCGTCAACAAAAGTAGCTCGCTTCAAATCGGTAATTAATCAACAGGTTCATTGGGCTCGTGTAGGACTAGATGGATTATCACTGATACTGTAAGTCGAATCCTGTCAATCAATCACATACGAGAAGTACCGTGAAGATTCATGCTCTCATAATGCGCTTCGTATCGTACAAACTTTTTGACCTCAGCCTAAAATGAGTTCGTGAATATGAGAATGCATGGTGTTGAGTTGACAAAATTCGCTTGATTTGTTGCCTGTTTTACAACCTTCCAGGAAGTGATACGCAATCTCTCGTCTCTTTTCCATCATAATCATCGCCCATCGCCCAAATGATGTTACAAACTTGTTACACGTTCCTTATCGATGACAGCTCAGAGTCCCAACAGACCTCCCCCACCTTTGCCACCACCACCACCAAGAAGGCCGCCGCCGCCACCATCCTTTCCGTCACCACCTCCACCAAGCACACCTCCGAGGAGGCCGCCGCTATTCTCCTGGCCACCGCCTCCTAGACCGCCGAGGACACCGCCGAGAAGGCCGCCAACACTGTGTCAACGTTAGTAGGGCAAGATTGATCGAAATTGAACAGGAATAGTGGCTTACCCATCGCCAACGCCGCCAACAACATCACCAACGCCGCCGAGGACATCACCCTTGCCAAGTCTACCGACGCCCTTGCCCAGACCTCCGGTGATACCAGTGACCGCGTCGCCGGCGCCCTTGCCGACTCCGCCGACGATGCCACCAACCGGTCCGCCGACTGTGGCACCAACACCTCCGAGCGTACCGCCGACAGTGTCACCCTGGAAACACGTTAATATCAAGGTATTCCACGTAACCATTCGAGTACTGGATGATGACGCACCAATCCCTTGCCAACACCTCCAACAGTATCTCCAACTCCACCAGTGACACCGCCAACGGTGCCCATCAAATCTCCACGGCCGAGAGCTCCAGTGGTGTCGCCCAGCGTCTTGTTCAAGCCGCCAGTAGCGGCGCCCAAAGTGTTGCCAACGCCGCTGGTGGCACCGCCAACAGTCTTACCAAGGCCGTCAGTGGCGCCCTGGACACCTTTGCCGAGGGGACCTCCAACGGTGCCACCGACCTGCTTCCCGAGGCCGCTGGTGACACCACCGACAGTTCTACCAAGGCCGTCGACGGTACCGCCAGCCGCTTTGCCGACGCCATCGACAACGCCACCAGCAGTCCGTCCGACTCCGCCAACGGTCCGGCCGGCAGTACCAACGACTCCACCGGCAGTCTTGCCAACGCCTCCGACGGTCTTACCGACGGTATCCGTGACCTGGCCCACAGGACCGCCGGCTTGAGCCTTCTTCGCTGCGCGACGAGCCTCAATCTCATTCGTGGGAGTGAGGGCGCTAGGGTGGTACTGCTTCTCCTTCTTTGGCGTAGCAGCCTTGGCCTTCCGGGCCTCGTGCTCTGCGGTAGGTACAAGAGCGCCAGGGGCGTAGACCTTCTCCTTTTTCGCGACCTTGGCAGGGCTAGTGGTAGCGGCAGGGACGTTCCTGACAGCAGGTGCGGGAATAGGGGCGGCCTGCTTCTTGACGGGCGCGGCCTTGGGTACTGTGACGGGAGCCCTGGGTACAGCCTGTGGTGCCGCGGCGACTGCGGGCTTCTTCTTGGGCAGGTTGTCTTCGTGAGTCCGTGCTGCTGCTGCTTCCTTCCTGGCCGCTTCCTTTGCGGCCGCGGCCTTGCGAGCTTGGATTCTCTTCACGATATCTGACCCAGTCGTCTCTGTGTACTGGGTAGTCTTCTTCTCCTGCATCTTCTTGACAAGATCTGCGCCACTGCTGCCGCTGGCAGCCTTGCTAGCGGTGTGCGATGCTGACTTGGCCGTCTTTGAAGCATGGTCGGCTGTCTTGTGTGCGGATGATGAAGCGGTCTTGGATGCATGATCCGCGGTTCTGTGAGCGGAGGATGTGGCTGGTTTCGATGCAGACGATGCAGTCTTGGAAGCTGATGCTGCAGGCTTTGAGGCCGATGATGTGGGCTTGTGTGTGGAGGAAGAGACCTTCTTTGTTACCGGCGTCGTGGTAGCGTGGTCTTTGGTCGATACATTGTCCTTAGCGGCGGCTGTGGCTGAGGAGACCTTCTTTGGCGTCACTTGCGATTTCCGTTCGTCGACCTTAGCGGCCGTTGCCTTTTTGGCGGAGGAGACCTTGTGGGGAGTTGCGGCTGGTGGGACGAGTCGTGTTAGTGACAGATACAACCTCACAACTCTTCGAGTTGGCCATCTGACTGGGTGAGGTTATTTGTAAAGCTGACTAACCTTCCACAGAAGCACTGTGGTTCTTTACTGATGATGGCATGATGGAATAATATGTGGTGCTATAGGAAAACTCTGTGTTTCGGGTTCACGATAGTCTGACGAGTTTTGTTTTCACAGAGTGAGTTGCCTCGAGTTGGCTTGTTCAAGGCTGTTCTTTCTGGTGTGGCTGATGCTCTATATACACTGCGAAGCTCCGTGGCAGCTTCTGGGGATGACGTAGATGGAAAAGGATGAGGAGGGTGGTGTGAGCTGACGTGCGTCCACCGTCTGTGACGTCGAGTCTGGGGTTGTCCCGGGGGTTTGATAGGCCTAGATTGACCATCCATTATGCGAGACACCAATCGACCCCAGAAACACCCGCCACACTTCCGAGCACCACATGCACCGCCGACGCACGATGAGGGAGGGATAGCGAGGGAAACATAGCCAAACATGCAGCTTTTCTTTCTCGACATTTCTTCCCGAGTCCCCCAAATTGCCCTCCCCCAGTCACCGCTCGCAGTGGACAGCTGAGATGATGCTCGGTTATGACATACCCTTGGTTGGATTCCCTGCTTTCTGGACGTGGTTGATCGCATCGACACGAGCTAGAGGATGCGTGAACCGGACGAATCAGAGCCTTGAGACTGATAAACTCTCCCTCCCTTAGCCTGGACCGCGAAACATGGCTTTTGTGAGGAGATCGAGGAGCACGGTTGCGCTGCCTTGTCTCGAAGTGACGCCTACGAGCAGCCCGTCGGCGTGAGAGACGGGGAGTGAGGAGTTGCGTTGGTGCTTTGTTCTTTTCATCCGATTGATCCTACGCCCCTCCTACTGGTTGTGGCTTAGCTTACAGCAGCTCTTACTGGGATGTCATCGCGGCTCGCATGCTCGATATCCACAAGCGAGGTCTCGAGCGTTATCGTGTCGACATTGTGGATCGAGCATTGTGGTCTAGGACTTGTCAGTTGCGGAGTAAGACTGCTTGATATCAGCGGACAGAAATTCTGCTTAGTCTCGGTGAAGTCGGAGGGGAGAGGAGAACGTTTGAGTTTTTTTCTTCTGCATGGAGCGAGAGCCATGTTTGCCTCCTTGGATCCATTGTTCTTAGGGTGGCGGATTCGGCTGTTGGAGCTAGTGGTCTTGGTCTATCCCACACGATCGCGATTCAGCGCCCGTCTGGTGGCGACCGTTGACAATGAGGGGTTTGGATGAGGTGAGCGATTTCCTTTGAGGACAGGACGAACTCCTAATGATAATGGCGAGCTACATCATCTCAAACACAGATCCGGATTGCTAGCACGCTGGTCTGAAATGCAATATTCAGCTGTTGCCAACTGCCTTAGTAGACCTGGATGTATGAATGTTTACATTGCGACTCTTTTGTTTCGCCTGCATCCCGTCGCTGCTCTCCAAAATTATCCAGTAAGCGAAGAACATGCCTCTGACATGGAGCCACAACAAGGCAAATCTTTCAGCATACACGGGCTTCCTTCAAAGAATTTTCCTCGCCTTTATTCCACTGTAGTTTCTTGGGCAGCTTGTCACCAGGAACATTTCCTTGCAGGCTTTCTTACTGGACAGTCCCTATCGGAACAAACGAAATTCTATTTCGTCCACGTCCTGCAAGAATGTACTCGAAGTCTGCTTCAAAAAGAACTCGTGCTCATTCAAAAGGCGAGCCGGGTACCACTTTCAAGGATTCTTTGACCTTGACCGAAGAACTACGCATACAAGGCATTGTTCATCCAATAAACCGCGAACATCCCAAAGACTGCTTTAGATGCTGCAAGTAAAG